TGAATTTATTTCATCTTAGAATGAAAATACTGTACGGTGATGTTTGACTTTTATTGACTTCCTGCTTAGCTGATGTCGGCTATCTGCTGCCAGAAACAGGTTCTGCTCTTGAAGGTGTTATTTATCCAATTAAACTGTGTACATCTAGACAGTAATTAACTTCAGTGACTGGTAGTAAGAAGGATTGTAAATTGCATGGAATGCATATATTGCTGAGTTTCGTAACCAGTCATCAGTATACACATTTTTAAGGAATGCATAGGTCTAGACTTTATTATTATTATTTTTTTATCACCGTTTATCTTAAACATTTTACCTGTTTTTCACCTTCAACCTCGTTCAACAGATAGAAATGAAGTCAAAGAACTTGGACTTTTATGTAGTATTGTCAAGTACTATATTGTTTATATCTATCTGACTTTTATGTTAACAGAAAAGCTGTAGACTAGATTTTACTACCTTGACACGCTGTGACCAATAGCTAACTGACTTTTATTTATAAAAAAACTGGGTCTTATAAACACGCGAGCAATTAGTCTGTGTGCCAATACTCTACTAAAAATTGACTTTACAAAACGCGGAGCATTAAACATCCCAAGAGGAAATAATACTTGAAGTTTATAGAGATTTCGTTATGTATCATATTAATATATATATAATCATGTAATATGACATATCATCAATAATGTTTGTTAGAGTTTTAATCATTTTCCTGAATGATCTGTTATTGTGAACAGTCCTCAGTATGAAAGACACTTAATCAATAAATAAATTCAGTCGGTGTCAAAGCACTGAGTCAATTTAGACGTAGCATCAGTTTAAAGGTGAACACATTTACAGTGCAGACAATAACAAAAGGCTGATTGTTGATGCTTTGAAAGGGTAAAAAAGACATTAAAATATTTGGCAAACTTTATAATTTTTAGTGTGTACATCATTGATGATAAGACACATAAGTTGAAACCCTTACAGTTTCTCTATGGAAATGAAAATTAATCAACAGTTTGTAGAAGATGATGCCTGGGTTTTTATATCGAAGTAGTCAGTAAAAGATAGAGAATATTAACTGATCAATCTTGTTTTGTAGAGGTATAATTGCGTTGATAAAATGTATTCATTGATAGAAAACTATTTGATACATAAATTTCTGAATAATGAGGTAGTAGTAGAATTTAGAACAAAATGTGATTCACTGTACATTTCGAAACAGCTAGCTGATCGCCTTACCGATTAAATTATGATATCTACACGCTGACCAGAACTTAATTCTGCTTCTACTATTTTGTATTCTATCCAGCTGACACATGAATAAGTGATATACATTAGCTGCTCAACTTTAATTAAATCAATCAATCAATCTTAATTAAAATGAATGTAAACAAGTGGCACCTTATCTACTATTGGTTATCTAAGATAATCTCGATTCAGCTAAGTGGTTTGTTGTAAGGTAGTAATGATTGCATACCTGAACTGTGATGGGATACATGAGATTATGATACGTCATAAAATTAATGCTGGGCGGTTTAATTCTATGAGGAGTACATTTTGGAATTGGCAAAGTGTCAGCTATTAGTATTTTTTCAGGTCATTTTTATTCATACAAATAGAATCCCAATAACATAACAGAGATAATTTGATCGATTTGAATATATAAGAAATACAAAAGTTATTTCAAAATAGCATTATTTATAACACTGAATATATCATTTTAAAAGCCCTAACCGGCCTTATAAAAATAACATCAAGACATACTGTTATTACAGAATAAGCTTTACAATCAGAATCATTCTTCCATCGTGTGGAAGAGTGTTTGGCGTTTCTTCCAAATCAGTGTCCACATGTAGATACAGCTTGTCCCCTATAGTAGACTTAATAAAAGTGGAAATAATCACCAGAACCACACACATACACATATTTTCAATGCAAGCAATTCAGTATACCTTAGGCTTTGTGAACTGTTAGATGCCATTAATTTCCTTTTCCTGTAAAACTAAATCTGTTGGCAAAAAATTTATGCAATCAGAATCCCTTTATCGAAAAGTGCTTCCTAAAACACTAATCGTTCCTATAGCTTAAAAATGATTTACATTTTTGTAAAATCCTTTTGTTTACCAGTGTTAATTGTAATTCAGTCCGTGTTTTTGTCATCATCAGGTGTTAGCTGACTAAGAAATTTTAGAAAAAAAAACAAAAGAAATTGAGCAAAGAATATCCTCTTTGGATAATTTCCTCTTCTGGTTCTACAATAGTATATACGTTTGTATACACAGAATATTCTAGAATAGTCATCATTAACAATATTGGTGTTTTTTAAATACTATCGAGTTGTTAAGTAAGATCAATGAAATTACAGATGTATAAATTATAATAAGCATAAAAATGTAATAGTAAATAAAATTACGAAAGTGTCCACGAATTAAGGATCATTAGAACCTTGATAGCCAAGGTAAGGATAATGTCTGAACCAGCTTCTTCCGGATACATAAATTATGTTTCTTAATGTGCATCCCAACGGCCCCAGCAATATGTAGTAGACGAACTCTTAAGGTGAAGTTAAGACTGGCTGGTATGCGGTAGATGACTTTGAAAGCCTCATTAACATCAATCTTGTGTTCTTTATCCGCAAGATGAGATAGAATAGCGCTATGAACGGACTTTATTTACCCTTTACTTAGCCACACAGGATGATATTCGGAAATCCAATGAGAAATATGCCTAATTGTACGGCCTATGTAACTGGCTCCACAAGAGCAGTTAAAGTGGTAGATAAACATAGATGCACATCTTGCTTAACAACTCGATAGCATTTAAAAAGTACCAATATTGTTAATGATGACTATTCTAGAATATTCTATGTATACAAACATATATACTATTGTAGAACCAGAAGAGGAAATTATCCAAAGAGGATATTCTTTGCTCAATTTTTTCTAGATGTCTGAATGAATATTTTCGTTATAAGGAATTTCGACATAACTGATTGTTTATATATATATATATATATATGATGTCACTTAGATAGCCATTGAAAACCAGGGAGTACTTCCGGGTTTTTAATGGTTCTCTCTAAACTTGAAACAAATCGAATCCTTATAAACAAACTCTTCGAAATTTTATTCGCTGATTACCGGTATTCGTTATCTTGGACAGCTGCTATCTTTCAGCTTAGAAGTTATTTAATTTCACTGGATGTAGTTGCATTTATAATCACTTGTTTTGTATCCTGACGTTCACTGGACGAGAATACACACTAATGTTCATGAAGCAGTCAGTTTCGGAAGCTTACTTTCAAATTAGAGCAATTATCGACCAGTCCTAAATAAATTCAAACATGCTCCATACAGTATTCAGTGCATCTTGCAAACAAGTAACACTATACATGTTTTTACAGTTCTTCAATAAAGCTTCATGAAATCACGTATTCGCACAACAGATTTCGAACATTCGGATCGCGCGCACACACACTTGCGGCGGTACTGTATTGTGAATTAGTAAATTTAGAATTCCTGGGCCATCGCATTGTGTCCAAGTGTCGGAATAACATGCGCAATGGGATTTGATACTGACGTTTAAATTTTATAAGGGTTTACAGGACAAGATGATTTCATTGTCTCTTGATTCTACTACAGTACTTTCTGTACAGAGCCACTTTAAGTGTTTTTCAGGGATGAAATTTGTGGAATCACCCTCAAGCAGTAAAACTACATAAACGTCCTCGTGTGAGTCTGAGTAAACTGTTATAGCCTTTATCTTGAGACATCTACAGAAGTGATTACAATTTCAGAAGGAAGTTTTTATTTAATAGTATTTTAGTGTAGTTTTGCATTTTCTCTCTCATGGTATCTTCAGTACGCATGTGATGAATACGTTTGAATAAGCCGACGCTTTTGTATGCTGGAGTGGACAGAAACTACAATAATTTATATACTATCCTGTTTCACATGAACTTCCTGAAGACAAGTTGTTTGATTAACCCAACTTATTAGTGAGTTATGAGTATATCTCAAATCTGCATACAGTCATTAATTTCTTTCCATTTGTTAACAATATACTATTTTATACTTTGTAAATCCGAATTTCTCTGGCATTCGTTGACCTCTCAAACATAACTAAATACAGGTCAGTTTGATCGCATCTTTTGTCTGGATGATGAAGTGAAATTCTCTCATACTGGAGTATGCCTGTATTTCAAACAGGTGAACTGTCAATTAGCTTTTTTTTTAATCTCTGTTCAGATGGAATGAAGCACAAACTAGGCAGAATTAAATTGAAATTGACTCTTATGCAGTGGAACAATGTTAAGCGTCTGACTGAAAGTTAATTTGAGAGTAATTAGTGCCTATGCCCCACTTACGAAAATGAAATACAATATTCCCTATTTTCTACTGACACATCTTGCCTTTCGACTGTTGTTTTCAATTTTATATCTCTAAAATATTCATAGTCTGAAATGTTCTACTCATTCGTTTTATCCGTCGGTAATGTTTAACAAGTACGTATTTAGATAGTGACAGAAGTTAAGCTACAAGCTTGGGTGTTACAAATGAAGTAAAAATGATACTGATTTGATTCTATGCTGCTGTAAACATCTACGATGATAATACCACAACTGATTGTAAAGCTAACGATACAATGCAACATTGGCTAGTTGTCCGTGTAAACACTTATTCCACTATATTTCTTATTTCTATCCCCACTTTACAATTCGCAATAGACTTTAACTGATCAACACCAACATACACTATAGTATTATCACTAACAACACAACATTGGAAATCAAAATAACGCGAAAAGTGAAAAAAAATCATCCCGGTTGAGAGAATATACTTATTTATTTATGTATTAAGAAGCAGTATAACAATGCATTACCACTATAAGTCAACAAATTCCAGAATTTAAAATGTAATAACCTGAGTTGGCGAATAAATTTTTAAAAGAATGGTAACAGCAATAACGAAGAAAGAGGGAGAGACATTGGAGGAATTCGAATAACCACTATACTAATTTTGTGGTACAGCAGCATACTGAAATTGCTCCGGTGATGAAATGTAATCAGCAACGTCCAAAGCGAGAATACAACTTTCACGAACGACCGGCTCCTTATCTTTAGTAAATTCCTCTAATACATTACGTGCCTGACTTTCAAATTCTTTAGGTACATCACTTTTTACATTACTTGACAAATATTTCCCTTCCAATTCACCGAGAATTGAACCAAGAGCTTCAGCAGCTTCGTGTCTAACCATAGGATGTTCATCAGTTGCACGAACACAGGCAGAAAGTGGAGGAACAGTGCTGGCAACTGTTAACTGTCCAAGTACGAAAGCAACTTCGTGACGTAACAGCGCACTGTTTGGTGCTTTCAAACCTTCAGCTAGGAAGTTAGCTGGTTTTTCGGGTGACGTTTTGTCTAAAATTGCCTTTAAAACACGGTCTCGTAGAGTGAACATAGCACGGTAACGCGTGAACAATGTCTGAGTTGGGTCCATCAATAAATCACGCAACTGTTCATCAGTATAGCTGTGATCACTACTGAAACTATGCGCAGGATCAACTGTATTCGGGAAGAACTGTAATGCCAAGTCATCGGTAGGAGGGCTGGATTCATTTTGTTGCTTTTCTTTTCTACTCTTGATCCATTCAATACGGCACAGACCGACTTGACACGTTTCAGCTAACTGAAATACAAAAACAAGTGATGAGATAACAAAGTTGGCTGACCAGTAACAAACGTATTTTACACAATTTCAAAACTAACTTACTGATAAAAATAGCATGAACAACAGAACCTAGGTGAGGTGGGACTTTTTTTCGACGGCTGTAATCCAGAAGACACGACTACATCAACCTTCATCACTGATTACACACACCTATTCTAAAAGTTGAAATATAATAAGTGTCAAAGCAACACAACCTTATTTTATTAACAATTATATGTGACGCGTGAACTGGTGCTAACAATAAGGTGTACTCTGGAGATCAAGTACAACGATATACCTAGAACCGGTTCAAATGACTGTTTTTATAAAATGGGATAAATTATTGGATGCTTATCTGCAGAATGATTAAGACTCAGTGTATCCCAGTTATATGAAAAGTGAAAGAAGCGATGGAAATGTTGTGCCTTAGGCTATGGCGCTAAAAATACTTACTACAGTGTTTATTATTAACGGTTTTACAATTGAAAATGATGATTCATGCTTCCCATTGTAACGCCGTACTCGAAGACACTCTGCTAATGATAACTACGCATGCGTCTAAAAGCAAAGATTTCATTTAAAGGTTGTAAAACCAAGTATTATGATATATAGGATATGGCTATTCTGCATAACTATCAAGTCACTCCATCATTAATAGTCTCCACCCAGTGATTGTTACAATCCCCAGGAACCAAATACACTACTCTACACGCTCTACATAAACCTTCAATTCAATGGAGATATATCTGCGGAAATACTAAAAAATCGACTGTCGCGCTCACTCAAGAAGACTTTCTTCGCAGCTGAACTACGACTAACTTTCTCCACAAAACCTATGATTCATGTGAACGTGAAGGATAAGCTACCACTGTTGGCCTCATCAATGTGTATCTACCAATTCACCTGCTCGTGTGGAGCCAGGTATGTCGGCCGTACCCAGCGTTCGCTTTCCAAGCGTATCACCGAACACTTACCAGCATGGTTTTACAAAGGAGAAAAGCGATGTCCCCGCAGCTCCATCTTAGAACACCTGATAGAATCCGGACACCAAGCTGCACCCCAAACAAACTTCAAAGTCGTCTACAGAGTAAGAAGTAGTCTTCCAAAAGGTGTACGAATCAGACTTCTTCAAACTGCAGAAGCAATGGCGATTCACTTGCTAAGCCCTGAACTCTGCATACAGAAGAGGTTCGTTCAATCACTAAACTTACAATGGACTTAACCTACATTATTACCTGAAAGGTAAATTCTACCTAAATTTTTTTTCTGTCTCTTCATTGGTATTATTCTGTCTTCTCAATTGTAATATTTTGCATTTTCAACTTTCTTGTCTCTACCCCTACCCGATTTAATTTCTACACCTCACTACCACTTTAATTGACCTGACCAACGCTCAATTTATAGTCATTTATGTTACGTCATCCAACTTAATTGCTCAATTTCATTTCTAATCTAAATGGCATTATTATCTACCCCACTTCTACTTAGTCTCTACCTGTAATTACCTCTGTTGCTAACCTGACCTAAGTTAAAACATTTTAGTCAATTGTATTACGTCATCTAACTTACTAACTCAATCTTAATTTAGTTGCTGTCCAATTAACTTTGTTTCTATATTAGATCATTCTTTTATTACCTGATCAATTATCTAATTTTGACAAACCTCATGTACACACACACACTCAAATAATTATATATAAATGCGATTGTACAGCTATGTGAATGAATTCGCCGAAAAGAGTCTCTTCGCTGAACGTCTTCTCTTTTTCATATGACTAAATGGGGATTTTCAAGATACTACTCAAAATCTCCATATATGGTTCAAACAAACAGTCAAATACTGCATGGATTGATGCCTCCACACATTGTCAACCCTATCCTGTTAGCTAACGTTGCATCACAAGGAAACCAACAACTCAGAATGCAAGCATAACGCATGTCCCACTCACCTCAACTGATACAGTTCCCAACACTTAACACTATTAAACAAATTATGCAAAGATGGAGGTTATTAGGACTAAATATGAATAACAAAACTTATGAGGAAGACATACACAGAAATAATCCAACAAAAAGAAACAGTAGTAGTGCGGTCATACAGTTTGGGAACCTCTGGAACATCGTAAAGAATTCTTAATAAACCTGAAATAACAGCGGCATTGAAACCCACAAAAATATTGGGAAATAAATAACGCCGGTTAAAGAAACTTGTCCGTTGAACCAAGTAATTTAGTCTATCTAATATCATGGAGAGATTGAGGTGTCAAATACATTGATCAGAGTAAAACACCCGGGCGGTATTACATTAGCCAGCACAAACACCTAGCGAAGTCTAAACTAATACAGCTTGATAACATGCTAAAACGAAACTTCACCAGCCAAGGTGTAAGTCCCAGACCAAATTGCACCAGCATTAAGCAAGAATTTAAAACGTGACGGCCAGTTAGTCTAATCAATGAGAAAACGAGGAACCCAAAACACTCAAGACAGCTCCAAAAAAGAGAAGACAAACGCACCACATAATGGTAATCATACAAATCCAATAAGGAATTAATATGCAATCACATACTACTATGGTGTCCAAATTTTACCCACATTATAATAAAAACACTCCAGTATCTACATTGAATCGTCTATTAGATATATCACACAGTGAAACAGCATCACTTACTGCAGGACGTCTCGAACGCAGTCTATTGTTCACAATCATATCACAGTAGTTAGTATCTACACTGATAACTTCAACCAAACTCGTGTCCCGGTCACCTCAGTGGATTCACACGATTCACAAACAACTTCTTCACTCAATGACGACTTGTATTATTCACTTAGTGACCTATAACCATTCAACGCTCTCACACACCATACCACACCACACACACAACCAGGTCTACGAAACAATCTAGGAGAAAGATCCGCCAACCTCAACATTCACTCTCAAAATATACGAAGTAAGAGTTTAATTACCCCATTGGCGTCGTTACGAATAATGCTTCACCCTTTACAAGCTCATCTTATACGAAACATACGTCATGCTTGATAACTACTGAAACCTCCTCCATGCGAATAAGCCCACAAACCGACAACAGCCAATTCACAGTATTCAATCAATTCAATCTAAACAGGTAGGTAGTTACCTGGGTTCCAGTGGGAAGTCGTGACCAGTAGGGTGCAGCCGGTCGGGTGTGAGGACAAATACTCGCCGAAGACATTGGCTAGCGGTCGCGCTATATCGTGAATTGGCAGAAGTTAGAATTCAAGGACCATTGGATCGGGTCCCAGTGGCTTAATGGTATACGAGCTCGCCTTGTAACCGGAGGGTCCTGGGTTCGAATCCCGGTGGGTGCGTACTGATGAAGAGTCCCAAACTAGGACGAAACAGCTGTCCAGTACTCCCAGGTTTTCCAATGGTTCTCTAACTAATGTCAGCTCATGATGAAATCGTGAAACCAATCAAATCCCTACAAACCAACACTTGAATATCAATCTAAACACTTCCCTAATTAACTTGATTGCATCGACGACGACAACAACAACAATATCTTACGTCGCCTTCACAGTATGACAATATTCCACTTCAGCTAGGTCTATTCAGAATTACTGCCTTGATAAATAAGAAGCCTGAATGAAGCTCTCCAAACTAATATAGCTGTCGACAACCATTACGTTTTACGTCAGCCTATGCAACAACAACAACAACAACATCAAAAACAACAATTTTACAGACTATGCGGTTCACGGTAATTCTACTCTAACCTATTTGGTGACATTCACCTTTTACTATTAACTCTTCATAAGAGGAAAAATACAAAAAAAACAACTTAAAAACAACAATTTTATAATTAAAAAGAAAGATAATTAATTTGACATGGACTAAATCAGTTTAAACGAATGACTCGTTTTTTCGTAGTCGACGTTCTCTAATGAAAAGTGAGACCAACGACGCTTAGTGACAGGTATCTCTCTTTCTGACTCCCTTTCACCGACAGTTTCATCACCGCCCCACACCGAACATGGCAACTATGACGACGGCCTAGTGGCTTTGTTTTCCGTAGGTAAGTAACGCGTATCTCCAACTCATTCATCGATATCATGTCAACAGCCTGACATTCTTGATTCTGATTGTCGCTCTCCTGAAAACCCATTTGTTTCCACCTCCTAGTATTTGCAACACGGCGTTCAAATACCCAAATAATACAAGTAACAAAAACTAAAAGGTTTATATAGGTGAGATGACTAATTTGTTCAATTCCATGATGACGTAATCGGGTAAGAAGAACCAATAGAATTACAATAGTCACCACCAATCACGTAAAAGTAGATACTAAATCAGAAATTAATCGGACAACTCTCGATGGCTGAATTGATTTCATGTACGTGACACGCACATGACATGACACGCAAACATTCATACAAATCCACATACATACATATCCCTAGAAGAAATTCACAACATTTCAGGGTTTGAAAAAATTAGACATCTGAGTATATGATGGTAATTTTTATACAAAAAGTTTCGTATAGCCTAGTTCTCTAAGGACAAACATTTGATAAAATTTATATTTTTTGTCATAACTAGCCTCACACCCATCAAATCAACATAGCTGACCTAGTAGTTACCGAATTCTTGTAGATGTAGAAATATAGTCTTCAACATCCTAGTAGTTGTAGTACATTCATCTTTATGGATGTATTACTATCACTTCTACAACTTCTCCAATAGTGGTGTGACTACGTTCGCCACCGGCCAGTGGTGACTTCATGGTACTCAAGACTTCTGATTTTGTCGAAGGGTAGTAGTCTACTGGTAGTTCTGAGATCGCTAGTGCTATTTTTCGACAAGTTGCATTTACTCGTCGATTCAACAGCCTCTCCAAGTAACCAGTAGAGCATCTCGTCTAATACACCTCCTCAGTAATTAAGATCCATTCATTATCTTTCACAGGTTTCATCTGAGTTGATATCTTCCCAGATAGCGACCTGATCATTTTATAACATGTTTTCAGGTATCTTTTAACTGTAGTCTGTTCTACTTCATTTCCCGGTGCATCTTTTATCACTTCTATGGCTCTTCTCTCTCCTCCTCCTCCTCAGCTCGCTGAGTCCAAGTTTTCACTCAGACTGTACGGGCTTACGTCCACACGGATCTCAGAGAAACTCAGTGTTCTTCTTAAGTGATCTCATCGCTGACATTTTCCTTGATGACTTTGGTAAACGTATCTGTCGCCTTCAGTCTGTGAGTGTAGAACTAGAATTTCAATCCAACTTCTCTGGTTTCTCTGAAAGTTTTCAACTTCATCTTGAATCTTTCTCATGTTATATAATGATCTGGGTCGATCTGGCTAACTGACGCACTGGGGAATGGAATGGAAGTACATTCAGCTGATGGGTCAGTCCCCAATTGGATGAGATGCGCATCCTGGCTTCCACTGCTAGTCACCATCAAACAAACTATTTCAAGTTAAACAATCCTCATACATCGTCTAAGTGTTCATAGTACTATGTAGGGGCCGATATGTTTATCACACAGAGATTAGACATCTGGGTGCAATCAAACGACAGGGAAATCAAAATTGAATTATAATTATTTATTAATGCCTCTAACCGATATGAGCTAATGATGACATCTTACAATCAATCAAATCCCTACAAACCGATACTTGAAAATTTATTAATGTCATTGTCAACTGCAACTGTGAACAGAATAAAGAAGTAGATAAGATACCTGAACTCTCTTAAAGTTAACATATACGCCTTAATGCCTTAGATAGAAGAATCTTAAAAGTGAGCACAAAGCCTACCTTTAGTTTATTTCTAGTTGAACAATACAACAAGGAGTTGGACTCATGAATAACTCATGAGGATCAAAATATTTTAAAGATGCTTCAAACGTGTGGTGAAAAGGAATGCTACCCAGCTAGCAGGAGGCTGCATTGAAATGCATGCAATGGAATACACTTAGCTAGTTCTTTATATATATATATATATATATATATATATATATATGTATATATATATAAACACTGAACACGAAAATGTGGTGAATAGACAATATATACCAACAATAGCATACCTCAGTTATGTTTGAATTAGCGAATTCCTTCAGGGCTTTCTCAACTTCAACGATATCCGCACCATCAAATCCAGTTAACGCAGCTAGTGCTTCAGCGGCTTCATGTCGAATGAGGGTAACGTGCTTTTCATTACGAATGGCTTGCAAAAGGTAAGGGATAGCTTTTACATCTCCTCGTTGACCTAGACAATAAGCAGCTTCATGTTGTAATAAATCATTGGTAACCGGTGATGGCCTTACATAGTTACATACAAAATCAGCTAATAATTCCAATGCTAATGGTTCACTTGCATGACGTAATCCCCAAAGGGCACGAGAACGATCAACTAATTTAGCCGATGGATTTAGTAAACATTTTCCCCACTCACGAAGTTCCGTTTCGGACACTGGTTTAGGGACCATTTTCTTCAGTTTGTAAACCATTTAAAATGGAAAAGATGAAAGAAGTTAAAGAGAAATAGACTTCATGATAAATTTGAAGGTTTGTTATCAGGTAAAAAATTTAGAACAAATATTTTATCTTAAAGTTTACTTTGCCAAAGTATTTCCTCATTTTGTTGTAATGGACATAAACGTTGGATCCTTGTGCATTAAAGTTCAAAATGTTACAACATACAAGCTTGTTTGTCAGACATAATGCAGTGATTTACGCATGGTTTGACATAATTTTTACCTTATTACACAATTTTAACTGGTTTCACGATGGCCTAATTTTCCGAGGGATTTCGATGTCATACAACCAGTCAAGTGTATTTGTTTATTTACTTATGGCTTAAATTCTTGAGGTTTTGTAAATATGATACATCACGCATTTTGTCGTTTTCCCCAGTCTGACTTTTGTATCTATCTCAGTGTGAGAGAGAATATTTTAAGTGAGTAGTTGGTTATAGTGTCGCGTTCCGGAGGTACATTATAATAGAGTTAGACGAAGCCACAACCCAGTAACACTCCATCATAACAATGTCTTATAAAAAATTCTCCAAGATCCAAATTGTTTAAGTTGTACATGAATATCTTCTACGGATGTTTAAAAATAGATGAAAAGTGCACATCTGAGATACACTTTTGTAAACTGGCTCACTTTTTATAAAATATTTTTTGAATGCGTTAATGCCGTTGTGTATCTTATTGTATGCGTGTGTTCAAACATTGAAAAATAGTAGTCCTCAAATCAGTGAAAAGTCGATGAACCCATCGATGAATTACTCTTTTCAGTGATTTCAGTCTCTTATTTTTCATCACGTAATAAAGACACTTAAACTGTTCAAAAAAATATGTTTGCTTTTTGTCAGCTAAACAAGTCTACTCTGCTGCTTATTAAAGGTTACTTTGTTTATTCAACTTTATACTACTGGATAATTAATATTTGTAAATTATTTCCCCTTTCTGCCTGTTTGCGTACTTATTATTTTCTCTCGCCCTTATATATTTTTTTAATTTATTTTTTTGATTACAGCTTGATTCCACACTGTAATTTTGGTGAAGGTATGGAATTTTCAGCATGTGATATCGGTAGCCCAAATTTTGCAAGCCGACCAATGATATCAGGTGTGCGTCGGCAGGGGATCGAACCTCGGACCATGTACATGATCGGCAAGAGTCCTAACCACTGTGGCACCGACGCACTCGGAAGCATAATTTAGTACAATAAATTCGGAAAACAAAAACACCTATTGTCATTATTCCGTTAGTACTGATGCCAATATAATTTACAACGCAGGTCAGTTGTTTTGTAACATATGCATAATATTCACAAATCACCCTACTCGATCAACACCGTCGGTGCTTTTATACAACTTAACAGTTCTGTTCATCAACTATTACTCCGCTCTCAGTTTTTAAGATGGTTTCATTGGAAACCCTCCTACCCAGTGGCACAAACTACTGTTTTCGACGTTAATTGATAGAATGTATCACTGACGCACTAGACTAAGTAATGACCACCCACTCCAATCCGTAGATCCCATTAACCAAGTCAGATAAGTGATAAACTGTTAACTAGTAACTGAAACGGTCTTCTGGTGATTTTTTCTCTATCTAATCTACACATCATTAGGAGCTGGTTTTAGCAAAATTCCTGTAATTTTCTACATTGATTAATAATAACTGTTGGGATGACTGTGATTTAAGATTTCTCTGATAACGAATGAACATGCTTATCATGCTAGAAATGTCAATTTTGGAAAATTAATCTAGTATTCCAATACAGAAATACTAATTCAGCCCAGCGAACACTGTTTGGTTCTTGTTGGCGGGGAGTGGAATACATCCATTGTATGAAAACAAAGAATGGCACTTTTTAGGAGTCGTTGTTGCAGGATACAGCTGAGTTATACTGGGTTATGGCTTCGTCTAACTCTATTATAATGTACCTCCGGAACGCGACACTATAACCAACTACTCACTTAAAATATTCTCTCTCACACTGAGATAGATACAAAAGTCAGACTGGGGAAAACGACAAAATGCGTGATGTATCATATTTACAAAACCTCAAGAATTTAAGCCATAAGTAAATAAACAAATACACTTGACTGGTTGTATGACATCGAAATCCCTCGGAAAATTAGGCCATCGTGAAACCAGTTAAAATTGTGTAATAAGGTAAAAATTATGTCAAACCATGCGTAAATCACTGCATTATGGCCGACAAACAAGCTGCACAAAAAGAAACTTACGAAAAGCCTCCGCAAGGACCGTGAACTGTGGTGGGTGACAAAGGCGAAAGGGATGGGAAAAGCATCGGCGATAGGCAACACTAGGCAACTCTTCAGGGAAACGGGTGGGAGAAGACAAATCATCAGTGAAACAATCTCGGAGAAAAATTGCACCATAATTAGCTCCCAGGATAGACGACTGGAACGCTGGAAGAGCATTATGAGGAGCAGTTTAATTGGCCCACAGCCACGCTCAACCTGCCGAACATCCAACACCTCCCTGAATGGGATATAGACACAGGTCCTCCATCCCTAACTTAGGTTACTAAAGCTGTCACCAATCTGAAACTAGGCAAAGCAGCGGGACCTGATGGAATGACTCCAGAGGTATTTAAGTACGGTGGAGACAGTTTACTGTCTGCACTAACTGAGGTTCTAGGCAGCGTCTGGGAATCAGAAGAAGTCCCATCGGGTTGGTGTAAGTCACTGATTATTCCCATATGCAAGAAGGGAGACAAGTCTTCCTGTGATAATCACAGAGGGATTAGCTGACTAATATAGTATCTAAAGTCTAGGCTCAATAATCATGCGTAGACTAAGTGGTGCTCGGGAGGCACAAACACGAGAGAACCAGGCAGGCTTTAGACCAGGAAGAGGGTGTATTGATCATATCTTCACCCTCCGACAGATTCTAGAACATAGGCATTCCTACCGGCGTCCAACAATCATTATATTTCTTGGCCTAAAGGCGGAATTCGATTCTGCGACCGAGAGGTACTCTGGCGATGCTTGGTTGTAAAGGGAATGTCAAGAAAATACATTGCACTGATCAAGGCACTCTACTCGAACTCATGCAGCCAGATGAGATCTTACGGCGAGTTGCCATCTGAAGTGGTGACAACTAGTGGTGTCTGTCAGGGATGCCCATTATCCTCATTTGTATTCAACTTCATCATAGATTTACTAATGGAAGTAACCCTAAGTGACTTCAGTGACTCAGGGATTGACTTGCTACCAGGGGATAATCTCGTTGACTTGGAATATGCAGACGATATCGTCCAACTAGGAAAAATTGCAGTCTTCTAAACACCTTGAGCTGCAACCTACGAATGTTTGGCATGCGATTCGCTCCCGCCAAATTCAAGATGATGTTACAGGACTGGACTACAGCGACTCCTAGTTTAGAAATAGGAAGTGAAGTGGTAGAGCATGTTGACCACTTCTCTTATTTAGGAAGTACCATCAGCCAGTGACAACGGGTTGATCTCTGACGAAATCTCAGCACGGATACAATGGGCTCGTTTCGCATTTGCCGGACAGTTTACGCCGTCTCTGGCGTAGACGAGATATCCGGCTGGCTATCGACCAAAGGGTGTGTGTACTGCTCATCAGTCCGCTCCGTCCTCCTTTATGGCTGGCTGTGAGACCTGGTCACTGAGAGTGGAAGACATGAAAAGATTAGCTGTCTTTGATCATAGGTGCCTGCCCGTGTGGAGTGGTATAATAAGGTGAGTAATATTGAGGGTAGGCGTCGAGTGCTAGGTAAACAGGGGAAATCAATCGACGAGGCTGTGAAGTTACATCGACTGAAATGGTTAGGACATGACTTCTGCCTAGTCATCGCCTTCCTCGACAGTCAATGTTAGCTGACATAGGGTCAGGCTGGAAAAAAGCTAGCGGAGGTCAAACAAAAACATGGCACCAGTCAATGAAATCCACAACAGTTAGTCTAAGCTACGTAGGAAGGTGTAGACTGGGTTCCTGGTTGGGGTCCTCGGGACGGTAAAAACCAATGGTTGGAAACAATTGGTGAAATGGCTCAAAATCGTTCTCAGTGGCGCAGATGCATCCACTCCTTGTGATTTATGATGAAACTGTTTGTTCTTCGTTATTACTCTTCCTTTGCCTCACACCCTGCTTACTGTCTCTATCATGCTTTTCTTGTACTTTCTTCTCTTGCTTTGTGTGCTACTTGGAGTGTGGCGACTTTAACTGCCGCACATATGTGCAAAGTTCTGTGTCCCAAAAGAGACAGACAGACAAACAAGCTTGTCTGTCGTTACAGGCATACTTGAAATAACTATACAAGTCAATCATGAATGTGTCTGACTGTTATGTACTAGTTTTCCCCGTCGCCAAATTGTTATGTACTCGTCGCTAAGTTATTGTTATGGTCTGGTCGAGAAACTAATAGTCCTGACGCAAGAAGGCGGAAATCAGAAGACCACTAGGTTTGCGATGATACTTCTATTGTCCAAACACAAGGAGACGAAAATAAATGGTCTCACACCAAAGTGGTAAGTAAGTAAAGTAAAGTAGTTCACACAAATTTGTGAGAACGAAATATATACGACAAGAGTATGAACAATCATTAGACAGTCTTAACATGAATGGCTAATTATAATGAAGTATCGATCCACATATACATAGCGAAATATAACAGACATGTCAACAATCACCATGTATGGATATATGTCACCAAGCAACGGACTGTCAACAAACACTCATATTATATTATATATAATATAAGGAGAATATACATTGATAAAGGAGACAAGTTCATACAAGTGAAATGGTCACAGACTAAGAGAGCAAACAGAAAGAGAGACCAACATACACACACACATAAATATACATATATGTGGATACATATCACTGACACATCCACAAAGATAATTATTATCTGACTAAAGTTGTTTACTGTGAATCCGGATCGAAATTTATCATTCAGAAAAGATCATAACACCTGTGTAAACTTGTCTCAGGAGCCGTGAATGAGAAACTAGCCAACTTCAGCCTAGTTACAGTAGTAAAGTAATGGAAGTGAACTACAGTTGGGTGGAGTAGATTAAGCGTGAACACAACTAAAGTCATATTGAACAACAATATTTTTTTCCTTTACGTTCCCCGGTGGAACATAGGGCCTCAAGCTAGTGGCTTGAAGTTTCTGTAGCAGTGTTTTATTTTACAGGATGGGGTTGCTAGCCTCGTGCCCAACCTTTACTCTTTACCAGCATTGTTTCTGGCTTAGCGAGATAAAGGAGTGCGTCGGCCGGGAGTCGAACCCCGGACCGTGTGTATGGTCGGCGAACGTCCTAACCGCTATGCCACCCACGCACGAACAACAATATACAGGAAACAAAACTGTGGAAAGTTTTGAGGAGTCATAGTTAAGGGGTTATTTTAAATGACAAGTATTCTGCGAAACTATTCAAATATTATCTTGTAAATATTTATATTACATTGGATACTAGCCTTACAAAATGAGAATCTTTCCATATTTATCACTAGGATAGTACATATGCACTGTTTCCAAATAAACATATTACAGTTACACCTTATGACTTTACAAATTAATAATTAAATCAGAATTTAAATAATACTGGATGAAATTTCAAGAAACAATGGTCATGTAGCTCTAAAGACAATAATGTAACTATATGAAAGTTAAGATGTTTAGTCATAAGTCTAGAGAGACAGAAAACAACACCAAATTATTATCTGAATTGAAATAATTAGTACTTAGCTGAAATCGACAGTTTATTATTGAGGATGAAAACCACTATACTTTATGAAGTCCATTTGATTCTGTGATTAATAGTAAGGGTTGCTTCTCAAGATTACTATAACACTGATCATATTACTTTGTTTGAACTTTTTGACTGTTTGTGGAGTTACACATTTTAGGTGTATCATTGAATAAACAAATTAGTTAACTTAACATTTCGCCATTTCTATGCACGTTAACAAATCTAAGGTAGCATTAGACTAAAAGATTTCTTCAACTTATTATGCAGATGGACAGTAAACATTTGGTCAATACGTATTATTAATTTATAAAAAGTCAGATAATGACATCCTTATATTCACTAGTTTAGACAAATAAACAACACTTTAGTGTTTACACTTTCAGTTAAATACAAATGCCACTGTACATTTCAATTTGTTTACCATAAAATATCATTGAATCAATGGCACAGCTTACAAAAAAGCATTTGAAAAGTATTTTTAATCATAGGACGATAAGTAAATGTCGTAGAAATTATTCTGGAAAATAAAAGTACCAGTTAATTCACGAGCGTATACCAACAAACAGACGCACAAACACACACACACACACACGAAGACATTACTACAGTAATACACAGTGAAGTTGTACACATAAATGCACACAGCAGGTAATTACGAGAACGAGAGATATTGACCAAATATTATATTTAAATAAGATTTTGTGTTGTACAACTACAATTCTTATTGTATATTTTTATAAATATATAATTTGTGTAATGAAGGGCTGTTGAATGTTTCAGTAATGGTGAAATGGAATCAAATGCAAATAAATGTACTGATACGTATATGTTGGTCCACAATTATCACCTTCATTATGTATATGTTACACTATCTGTCAGAGATGTTCCAACTACTCAGCTTGTACAATATTTGATATGAAACAAAAATGACAAGATACTAATCCATAAGATTGGGTGGAAAAACAAAGAATAAACACGATTTCTTCATAAATGTTAAATGTCACAGCGAGCCCATATACATAGAGAATTAAGTAGACGAAAACAGAAATACGTTAGAATAAAAAAGACACTTTAGAAAGAAACAAACGAACGAACAAAAAGAAACACAATTTTGGTTTAGTTGTACAAAAGAATCTGTGACAAATAAAATCCGAATATTAAATGCATTTTTCTAGAAGTAAGTCTGAACACATTAAACAGTTGGAAAAAGCCAAATATTGCACTTGATTGAGAATATAAATATATTATTACAAATAATAAATGTGACTTCAGTAGTAAATAGGATGAAAGAGTGGAAAGAATACAAATCTATAGGATCTCTTTTACAACTAAGATGTATACACTTAGAAAATATGTTTTAAAAGTATTGCATTGTACTATTGCACTAATACATGCTTGTACTGTTCAAAGGATAATACAAATGTATTTAATATTTATTGTTAGACGACGTAGCCCTATCCTAAGATTAATCGTAATAATAACAACAACAATAATCGTGGTAGTAGGGAGGTATTTTTCACAGAACATAATGTGAAAATATTTTTAAAAAAAAGAGAACAAAAGAATCCATGTTTTGCTTCCTTTCATACATGGAAAACACAACCAACTACCCCACCAAACACACACACACACACAGGACAAATGTGTGTACACTGTTTACCTAAATTTGATGAAACACAGAATTTCTAGTCAGGGTATTTAAAAAATCATTTTGCATCTAAAAAATGCTCGGTTTTCTGATGCATGGAAGAAACTGATCTATTTTCATGTGGAAGAAACCGACAAGTATTATGTAGGTGATCCCCATATGCCAGAGGTATAACTACACAAGATAATACAAGAAACAGAGGTTTACCGTTTAGTCATCATCAACACCACAAGCATGATTGCAATTTTATGGCATCTGGTAGTGTCAGAAGCACATATACTATTTGGTATTATATATTGTTAGTGGTGATAACTACTGCTAGTAGCATTGATAGAAATTAAGTAAAACTCATTTGCGCACAAAATAAGAAATAAAATAATTCGACAGCAAAAGGAATTACATAAATTAGCAAATTAAATAAATAAATAAATAATTTTCATCACTGAAACTCTATTCACCTTCAAAAAAAACTAATAGCTCTGGATACATTCACACAAAGAATCACGTTGTGATTCACGCGTGTTTATTAGAACAACAAAAAGAATATGAACAATAACAGTAATTAACATAATTATCAATGTAGTCATTCAACTGCTTCCAAATTATTTAAATTTCATATCCATGAGGCAATCGACGGTGTTATGTATTAATCGATCAGCGAATCTCCTTTCCCTTACCGTTACCGGTAAAATAACAGAAACAAATACTCCATCAGTTTCAGAAAAAGCATAACAGCAAGACATACGGACGCGAAGGAATTTGAGCAGAGACAAGACAATTACTAATATATATTTTTATATATTCAACTGGAAAATGGTCGGTGTTTAGCCAATTTTGATTCTAACTGTTGTAGGATAGTAGTGACAGACTGTGATATACGAATGTCCAGATTTTCTATTTGCCTGCGGAAATACAAAAAGAAACAACGAATAAATTAGGAAACCAAACTGAAATGATGAATGAGTAATATATATATTCATCAACCTGAAACCCATCAGGAAATCTTTGTCACTCAGCCAGCATCGACAACAAAATTCAGTCGGATTTTCAACACAAACGTTAAATTAGTCAGCATACGGATCAGAAACTTGGCGGACGGGTCACAAAGAATATTTCCAACAGCTTGTTGCAGACGTTTATCAACAACCGTATTCGCTGGCTCTATGCTGAAGACCAGATGGTCGGGCCGGAAACAATCCCCAACAAGAAACTATGGGAAAAAACAAAACAAGAACCAATCACCTTACATATATGCGGGAGAAAGTGGAGGTGGATTAGACACCCGCTGGGGAGGCCGGTTAGTCACATCGCGCGTCACGCAATTGCTCCAGTGGCACTCGAAAGGGAAGCGGCCAATGGGACGTCAGTCCAAGGGTGAAAAGGAGGAGATGGTGTGAAGAAGAGTTGAGACAGTATGGACTAACATGGATGCAGGTGACAAGTACATCAGAAGAAAAACAGAGCAAGTGTAGACATGCAGTTGAAGCCCTAAGTTCCACTGGGAACCCAAGGGAACAATAATATATTTATATATATACTCATGAAAATCCAATAAGGAATTAATATGCAATCACATACTACTATGGTGTCCAAATTTTACCCACATTATAATAAAAACACTCCAGTATCTACATTGAATCGTCTATTAGATATATCACACAGTGAAACAGCATCACTTACTGCATGACGTCTCGAACGCAGTCTATTGTTCACAATCATATCACAGTAGTTAGTATCTACACTGATAACTTCAACCAAACTCGTGTCCGGTTACCTCAGTGGATTCACACGATTCACAAACAACTTCTTCACTCAATGACGACTTGTATTATTCACTTAGTGACCTATAACCATACAACGCTCTCACATACCATACCACACCACACACACAACCAGGTCTACGAAACAATCTAGGAGAAAGATCCGCCAACCTCAACATTCACTCTCAAAATATACGAAGTAAGAGTTTAATTACCCCATTGGCGTCGTTACGAATAATGCTTCACCCTTTACAAGCTCATCTTATACGAAACATACGTCATGCTTGATAACTACTGAAACCTCCTCCATGCGAATAAGCCCACAAACCGACAACAGCCAATTCACAGTATTCAATCAATTCAATCTAAACACTTCCCTAATTAACTTGATTGCATCGACGACGACAACAACAACAATATCTTACGTCGCCTTCACAGTATGACAATATTCCACTTCAGCTAGGTCTATTCAGAATTACTGCCTTGATAAATAAGAAGCCTGAATGAAGCTCTCCAAACTAATATAGCTGTCGACAACCATTACGTTTTACGTCAGCCTATGCAACAACAACAACAACAACAACATAAAAAACAACAATTTTACAGACTATGCGGTTCACGGTAATTCTACTCTAACCTATTTGGTGACATTCACCTTTTACTATTAACTCTTCATAAGAGGAAAAATACAAAAAAAACAACTTAAAAACAACAATTTTATAATTAAAAAGAAAGATAATTAATTTGACATGGACTAAATCAGTTTAAACGAATGACTCGTTTTTTCGTAGTCGACGTTCTCTAATGAAAAGTGAGACCAACGACGCTTAGTGACAGCTTCCTCTCTTTCTGACTCCCTTTCACCGAGAGTTTCATCACCGCCCCACATCTAACATGGTAGCTATGACGACGGCCTAGTGGCTTTGTTTTCCGTAGGTAAGTAACGCGTATCTCCAACTCATTCATCGATATCATGTCAACAGCCTGACATTCTTGATTCTGATTGTCGCTCTCCTGAAAACCCATTTGTTTCCACCTCCTAGTATTTGCAACACGGCGTTCAAATACCCAAATAATACAAGTAACAAAAACTAAAAGGTTTATATAGGTGAGATGACTAATTTGTTCAATTCCATGATGACGTAATCGGGTAAGAAGAACCAATAGAATTACAATAGTCACCACCAATCACGTAAAAGTAGATACCAAATCAGAAATTAATCGGACAACTCTCGATGGCTGGATTGATTTCATGTACGTGACACGCACATGACATGACACGCAAACATTCATACAAATCCACATACATACATATCCCTAGAAGAAATTCACAACATTTCAGGGTTTGAAAAAATTCGACATCTGAGTATATGATGGTAATTTTTATACAAAAAGTTTCGTATAGCCTAGTTCTCTAAGGACAAACATTTGATAAAATTTATATTTTTTGTCTGTGAGTGTAGAACTAGAATTTCAATCCAACTTCTCTGGTTTCTCTGAAAGTTTTCAACTTCATCTTGAATCTTTCTCATGTTATATAATGATCTGGGTCGATCTGGCTAACTGACGCACTGGGGAATGGAATGGAAGTACATTCAGCTGATGGGTCAGTCCCCAATTGGATGAGATGCGCATCCTGGCTTCCACTGCTAGTCACCATCAAACAAACTATTTCAAGTTAAACAATCCTCATACATCGTCTAAGTGTTCATAGTACTATGTAGGGGCCGATATGTTTATCACACAGAGATTAGACATCTGGGTGCAATCAAACGACAGGGAAATCAAAATTGAATTATAATTATTTATTAATGCCTCTAACCGATATGAGCTAATGATGACATCTTACAATCAATCAAATCCCTACAAACCGATACTTGAAAATTTATTAATGTCATTGTCAACTGCAACTGTGAACAGAATAAAGAAGTAGATAAGATACCTGAACTCTCTTAAAGTTAACATATACGCCTTAATGCCTTAGATAGAAGAATCTTAAAAGTGAGCACAAAGCCTACCTTTAGTTTATTTCTAGTTGAACAATACAACAAGGAGTTGGACTCATGAATAACTCATGAGGATCAAAATATTTTAAAGATGCTTCAAACGTGTGGTGAAAAGGAATGCTACCCAGCTAGCAGGAGGCTGCATTGAAATGCATGCAATGGAATACACTTAGCTAGTTCTTTATATATATATATATATATGGTTCTGATTGCATGGAAGCCTTCGATGCTGTTAGTGATATCGTGAAGGGCCCTGACTTAGTGTGTTTGTAGTTATCTGGGTGACAGCGGTGGGCAGTTGAAATAAACCTAAATCACCAGCCCACCAAATTCAAATTAGTCTCCAAGATAATATTTAAAGCAGCGGAATGGACAATTTGAAGTAAGAAATATTTTATTAAACTAGGTCTATTGGAAATAAATTCCGACATTTTGTTTGAACTAACTAAAAGCAATTCACAGAAAGGATAAAAATTGAAATAAAAGTAAATATTTAGTAATATGCCTTAGTTGAGCTGTTAACTCGGTGTTGTTGTAGGAAGATTGAACTGGCTAGTTACTATTCAGATACAAATTCATTACCTTTAATTTATTCGTACTACAAGGTACCGATTGGAACTCCAGATGACAACAACAAAGGACTTTGTAATTCGACTTCCAAAATTTAATCTAATACGAATACTAGATGAAAGAAAGCCAAGCTCGATAGTGAAATAAGTAAAATGTTTCATTTTATTTAAGATAAACTGGGGTTCACGAAAAGAGCTTGTTGCTGGCTACTTTGTGAGAAACCTCACTATCCTAAAATTCATCAACCGTTCGTATTTGTTGGAAATCTGGAGGTGCTAGTGAGTTGCCTTCAGAAACTTGGCTTCCATTGCGATATTTAACACAGCTGTTTTGAAACCGCATGTCACGTTCAGCCTTGTCATCTATAACGTTGACATACTGAGGCAAATTAGGCAACAAGCAGGTCTTGTTAGGATCCGAGAAAGCCTACATGCTGACATTTACCACATCTCAGAGATTCTCAAACAGGATATCGGTGAAGTGTTTCGAATACACTTTCCACCTGCAAGGACAAACGTATATTTCAGGTATGCCTGTCTGGGACCTTGTAACAGTGGCGTCCAGTTCTTACAAAGCATTAGAGCTGAAGGTGCACTAGTGGATACCCCATTAACTGTCATTTATGTATTCTGAGATTAGGTAATGCTAAAGTAAGGAGCAACTGACCAGAGAAACATCAGATGGAACTAAGACTGAGTTCTACTATCAGGCAGGTGAGCTTCTGAAGCGCTAGCGTTCAATGGATAGCTGGGGACTGCAAAGTTCGGGTCGGGCGTCCAGACTTAAAACACAGCCAAACGGATAATATTACTGTCAGATTTCTATGGCGTGTTGCATACCTACTGTAGCATATGCCTAGGCTCTGATTATGCATTATATGCCAGGTTTACCTAGCAGTTTGCTCATAAAAGTCATCCTCAATAGTTTGACTTAAGTAAACGGGTAGCATCTGCTACCACTAGCATATATCATATCGATTTAGACTGAAGGCTAGCTACTAACCAACGTCTCCAACAGATAGTATATATGAACACTGGTTGCACTTACGAGACCCCATAAAGATAGTGACTGGAGATATTCGCTGCCTCAAAAAAGTTCCGCTAAATTTCACTGTTTCTGCGAGTTCCTATCAACATCGCAGCTATCATCGATCCTGGTAGACAGTGAGTATAATAGTCTACACAGGACCAAATAATACCGCCAAGTCTGGTGGTACGAGGAACTCTAAATACTCGACTCAAATGATGGTGAGACTCTAATCAGGGAATTGACTGAATTTTCCATGAAAATATGGGAAAATGAGGATATCTCATCAGTGGTAATGAAGCGTGTGACAATCATCGGAGTATTAGTTCATTACCAGTTACATCGAAAGTAATGGCTGATGTATTGCTTCACAGATTTTACAAAACCCATGAAGAAGATGGGTTGATTGATATATACCTATGTCTGCACTCGCCCTTGGAGATGAACATTTAGACTTAGTCGATAAGTTCACGTATCGAGGTAGCTGTGTGAGTGTAATGAATGAGATCCTGAACTGTACAATGAAATGGAGGAATACACCAACCTGGGCAACTTTTGGCGCTGTCGCATCGTCCACTGGGAACTTGTGAAAAAACCAGTGGTGTGGTCTATGATGTAACGGCGTAAGACGAAGGATAGTTGTTTTAGGTTACTATCGTTTGGGGCATCAAGTTTCCCTGGATGAAGTCTGAGTCAGTAACTCAAGAAGCTGTCATACATGGCTTGGAATCGTAGTCAGTGATAAACATGTTACAAATTCCTTATTTCCCCCTTTCCTGAAAGTAATATGCAGCAATAGAAGTGCCATAAGTGCTCTTGATGAGCATGCATAACCCGTTTTCATGGTGTTATTTCTCAGTTATTTTACTTCATTTCAACATACTGTGCTTTACTGTTTTTACATAGCACACCTTGAGGCCCATATTACACCAAGTTGGTATTTAAATAAACAAAAAACTGGCCTAGATAAAGGTGTGAAAATGAAACCATTCGACTACATAGAGTAATAGACGCTTGCCTTAGTTAGTTACCACAAAACACATCCCTTTAAGGGTATTCAGTCTATTGAATACGTTTTTCAGCGTATTACTTTGTTACTACTATACTCCACTCTAATCATTTGATTACGTCTGATTGTGGTTCCTCCTAAAAATAAAATGTTTACACACTGTGAACAATGATTTGCCTAACATTATGAATGATGTGAAGTAACGAGCAAAGGAACACCATGATATACACTATTGATTTATAAGACCAGTTGGGAGCTGCTTGCTGTTCAGATTTAAATGATCTACGTAATAAAAAAAGTAGGACAACTTGATTTCTTCGGCTCAGTTGAAATTAACTGGTGAAATCAATTCAAAATTCTTGAAACACGAGTTCTTTGTTTGTTTCACAATGACCTATAGCTACTGATTGCTAATTACTTTTAGAAATTCTATCATAAATTAAATTTATTTGATAAAATCACACAGTAATACAGCATTATTTACACATGTTGCTGTATCACTGCTGTATTTTATCAAATGAATTTACGCTATGATGGAATTATCCATCAGTTTGCTCATAAAAGTCATCCTCAATAGTTTGACTTAAGTAAACGGGTAGCATCTACTACCACAGTGGTTAGGACTCTCATCGACCATGCACATGGTCCGGGATTCGAACCCCTGCCGACGCACACCTGATATCTATGGTCGGCCTGCGAAATTTGGGCTACCGATATCACATGCTGAAAACTCCATACTTGTACCAAAAATACAGTGTGGAATCAACCTGCAATAAAAAAAATACTCTACTACAGTGCTTAAGTTCTATTTTTATACTTTTAGAAATCACTACACACATCCATTACTTTTATTTCAACTTCACTTATTATCGTGTTAAAGGCCAAGATAGAAATATTACTTATTTACAATGTAGTTTATCTAATCTATAAAAGAAAATACCTCATATATACTCACCTTATTGGCATAGTTATAAGTTGTGTAGAGGAAGCGCAGTGGAAACCACTTTGCAACTATGTAACCATATAGTTTTGTTCAGTATTCCATAATTTAAAAAAAATAGAAATTGTATGACCGGACTAACGTCTTTAAGGCTTTTATACAACTAAATAAGGAAGGAATGAAACTGTGATTGGTACACTGTCGTGTTAAATTAACGGGTAGTGTCTAAAGTCTGCCCTACACATAAATACACAAACAGATTGGCGAAAATCCAATGGATATGGTCAATAATCATTCTATTGGCTTATAGAATAGATACTTTATTTTCAAGGCTATCATTAATGTCTCACCAAAATGCACATATGACTCATCACAGTTAGCTTAAAGGTCATATAGGTATAAGTAAGCCCTTAGACAAGGCTTGTGTATGCAAGAGAGGGCAAAAACACAGCAATCGGACAAATATACAGATTAACCATATGGATACAATACATACTATACATAAACACAAATATTTATCCTGAATCAATGTAAAATCACTAAGTGAAGTGGGGCAAGGCTGAGAAAAAGCTAAGATTGATCGGAAGATGATTTCAGATTTTTAATCATGTTTGTCTGTTAGACTTGAAGGAAAAACAAGCTGTTAGACAAAGACTTGCAAGTACTATCCAAACGAAGTAGCTAATGAGTATGGTTTCACAATAATATCTCTATCTGTCCAAGGAAGGTAGTAGGTAGTGGGCAAGGCTAAAGAGTCAGGCAAAAATAGAGGTGTAGTAACATAAGTGGCCGCTTAAAAAAAGAATGTTAGTTACAGTTGAGGCCAATAAGATTTCGAGGTCACATTCAAACAATGTAGGAAACTTGCCTCCTAGAGGAAAATCAGGATGCGATTCGAAAAAATTACTCGAAAAGAGTCTCAAGGTCAATTTCATTTGTTCACGATTGATTTGCTTTAAATTCAAGCATCATAAATGCATAACGCGGTCAGATATTTCAGCAAAACTTTCAAGAAATATAGCTGAACAAGAACTGAAATCACTGTCAAAATGTGAGACTGAGATGAGTGTGAACTTTCAGTATTTAGGTCTTCGGTGTAATAAACTAATAAATGATCTAAGATACCAAGAATTTGATTGATTGACTGATTGAAGTGATCAGTAGCTCAGTTATTCGAGAGACGGGCTAATAATGAGAGAGTTGCCGACCAAAGTTACCAGAAAGTTAGGTTTTACTTTTTTCAATGCGTGAAGTTTCTACGCCTGTGAAACTCCTGCAACTGAGGACATCATTGGACATTGCTCAGAATCTATACAAGTGATAAGCATACAGCTTCCTTGTTTCTCTACAAAGTGGGGATATTTAGCACTCCTTTTAAATATTCTTTTAACATATATATTTTTTTCTATTTTACTACTTACCTTCTGTCTATATCGTTTGAAGTGGAACGTATAGAAAATGCCTAATTAGTTCTAGGTCAGAATTTTATTTGTTTCTACTCATACAGTGTCCTATATACCCTGTTGAAAGGCCTACGAAACACGTAAAGGTGTGTCAATGACAGCATCAGATTGATAAGCTGCAATGATCTCATTTGCATAAAACACCAAAAACAGTAGGGAAAATTTTCTAATAGAACTAATTATATAGAATTGTTTGTATTAGTGTAAATAGTACTACGGTTCCCTTTTTTCTCTGATATCATGTTGAAGGGAATAAAAGATTTTCTTCACTCCTGAAGTAGTAAATAAAAACGCTTAAGTTAGTTGGTAGCATAATTCCGCTTAATAAAAAAGCATAACAAATAATAACAATTATTTACTTTAAATAATCTACCTAGAAGAAAAAGCTACCAGTTTAACTATAAATGGATGAATAAATTAATCACCAGAATTGGAGGAAAAGAACAGACAAACAGAAGATCAATATCAGTATAGCATTTGTCAACACTGTGTAAATCTTCTTCGAGTTGCCAAAACACACACACACACCTGAATATTAAAGCGAAGAAAGCAATAATAGAGAAGGTAAAGGATTATAAGGTAAGGTAGATAAAATCAGAGGACGTAGAAAACTGTAATAAGACAATAAAATACACGCCAAAGAAAACGAAACTAGTCGCCTCGAGAACAAAATCATGGTAAGGAGAATTAACGTAGAAGAGGTACATGATTTAGAATTTAACGGCTTGATACCATTCCATCAAACTTTAACTAACCTAATTACATTCACACTTATTCAAATCGATAGTGATTCGTACTGTTAAAATCATGCTCAACAACACTGATTGTGGCCAATACAGTTGGTATAGTCACAGTAATTGCTTACCTTGTAACCTTTGAGTAAGATATCAGAAGCAATATCATATCTACAATACCGGAATGGTATGAGGGTTTTGTGAAAAGGAGTTGACAACTTTGATTTGAAATTAATAGTGAATATTAATTTTGGTATCCAGAATGCATAAATCGCTTTTAGAGAGTTATTTTGAACATTGACAACCATGGGAATGAGGTACTTGAAAAGTTGACTTACTATGGTATGAATTAGATTTTAAAAGTTTAGGACTTGAGAAACAGACCCTGAAAATACTGATTATAAGGTAATCAAATAAAGCTATTGGATTAGCATAGCCTGAGCTGTGAGTATGTATTAAATAACAATAAGCAATAATAATAATAATGAAAACAATAAAATAAAATAAATTAACAATAAAACAAGGTGAACAAAGACAGATCGCTTGCTTACTTTTCAACATTTGCAAAACGAGCAACTAGTATATCAATAATTTGTTTTTCTTCCTCCATAAGTTTCTTTCCTGGAGTATGTGAAATTGTTTGAGGTATCACAGGTGAATAAACTGCATGATTAGTTATATCGGTAGAATGAGTTGGAAGATTTAGAATCGACGAGTGTGATGGCTTCGGTGAAATATTGCGTGTTGAGCGCATACGTAATCGACGTTCTTGTAATGATTGATTATTAATTATAGGCGAAACAGGTAATGAAGGATTTTGTTCAGATGAATGAGTTGAGCATATGGTGATGGATTCTGATTTGCGGGCCATTGGTGGTTGATGACAAGGAGCTGTAGGACACGGATTATATAATGAGTCAGTAAAGTATACAGGTACTTGAGCGTTAGGATAGGCGGTTGGACTATATGACAATGCACCATGATCAAATAAGCGTTGGAAACGCTCTAATTCCCATGGCGGTTTACCAGTGAATGGATTATCACTATATCTACCCTGAGCTGAACTATTTAACACACTTAATTTTGAATATTCACCTGTACGCGAAGACATTGAACCACTCAAAAGAAGTGGACAAACAATATGCCATGATGATGTAGCGTCTAGAAATGTCTCTACATTAGGCATAGTTGCAGAATGTTTCTGGAGTAAGAAGAAATGAAAAAAAATTATAATAATTAGCATTAGACTAGTCAAAACGATCTATCGAAACAACTCAAAACACGTTATATACCTCTTTAGTTTTAGTTGTTATAAAAAATATTAAAAATAAAAATAAAATATGAATAGAAAAACAAAAGCAGTTTAAATCGGTTAGGGGTGTGGTATGGGGAGTATAGAAGACAAACTGGAAAGTTACAGTGAGAATCGGATTCGAGATGTCCAACCATTACTTCACACCATATACTTATATACGTAAGTTTACAACACCTTCTCTGCGCTACAATTAACTTTAAGGGGAAAATAAGCCATAGTGAACAGTTCACGAGCTATGACTTCAAGAACTGAAAGGTAGGCTGAAAGTTAACTACTGTATCACAGCAGGACTATGAACCAATAATTTTTATTTATATATTTGAATAAAATAAAAACAAAAAGAATCACGTCATTTCCTGCAGATAACTGTTGAAATATAGCCTACAATATAGCTACTTGTCTTCCCCTATGCACTGTACAGTCCTCACGCAATTATTCTATCACATATAAGCCAGTTTGTTGTGATTTTTCTTTCAAATGTACCAGCTTGAACAGATATACTTTATATTGGTCCATCAGTCAATCATACGGTATGAAATGAGAATGACACAATCAAATGCGATTCAACCGTGCAAGTTAATGATACAAACATATTCATACCACAATACACTACTTATGATAGTACAAACAGTGTAAGCGTGAATGCTATTAGGAAGTGACATGGTTACTAGCCAACCTAACCGCCATTACCAAAAAAATCGTCTCACTTACCTGAATTCAAATTTGTAAGGGGTATCTTCAAATATATCATGTTCAGAAAACAGAATCTACAGTGAAAACTACGGCTGTCATATTATTGACAGCTTTTTTTATAGGAGACCGTGGCCGACTGTTACGTTTGAAGTAAATGATTCAGAAAAAATAAGTAGCGCTGAGCGTTTATTTTGTTCTAATCTGGAACACACATTATCCTGCCAGTGGTCCAGTCCAAGGAATTAAGATTAATAGACGAATAAGTCACGTTCCCGTCACTGAGTTTAATTCCTTCAACCCATGATTTTTGCGCTCTGTTGATTAGCGACAAGTTATGGACAGGAAGTAGTGTGCTAAAGGATTTCCAGGTGAAGATACACAATGTACAGCAAAAATTAAGACTAACCACCTAAATGGAGCAATATTTCAAATAATTTTAAGGTAGGATTTAGGCATACAGGAGAATTTGGTCGACACACGCGTACACTAAATCACCAGTTCAGCATTAACCTGTAATCGTATTTTTTAAAATTTGTTTGTCACCTTAACCCTTGTTGACCCACTCTCCTCTTATTGCTTTGTATATTTCTGTCTGTTCAACTGATAGGTTAACACTCTTTCCCTTATTCTGTCTGTGAAAATTCTCAAGATCTACGTCATATGTGAAGCAAACAGATGGAGGGAATTAACAGAACCCCATTTTACTCATCTTTTTATTAATTTAATTTGAAGTAAAAAAAAAACTACTTCTCGAGTAAAGTTATAGATGAAAAAAGGTGGAATAAATAAGACTAAAGTTCACCATTCACTTCAACAGTCATTGAGAAGATATAAGTGTAAGTGGTCTTATGTGTCTGCAGTGAAGTAAAGCGGAGCCCTAGAGTGCAGAAACCTGGTAAGGAGAGACAGAGAGAAACTACTGGCCTACAGAAGAATAATCATAGATTGGTTTCTAAGACTGCTGATTGAAGTTTTCCTCATGGTTACCTAGGAACCAAAAAATCAAAATAGAATAGTAAAAAAAAGCAGGACATTTATAGAGAGATAAACGGCTGAATGAAAATGATGACTAATATGATTGATTTTTAAATTATATCAGATGCAAGTGGTTTTTGCAACTCACTGAATGATCATGCAGTACAATGTATGTTATAAAACTGTATATAGTCTATGAAGCGTCGGTGGCATAGCGGTTAGGACGCTCGCCCACTATGTACATAGTTCGAGGTTAGATCCTCGGCCGACGCACTCCTTTACCTTGCTATGCCAGAAATAATGCTGGTGAAGGGGAAAAGTTGGGCATGAGGCTAGCAACCCCATCCTGTAAAATAAACACTGCTACGGAAACTTCAAGCCACTAGCTTGAGGCCCTATGTTCCACTGGTAACGTGAAGGAAAAAAAATATAGTCTATGAAACAGGATGAACTTATATAACCTATTTCACTTTATAGGATATGCTGTTTAAAATTTGAAATTACAGAAACCAAAATCAGAAAAAAGCAATAGATTAAGCGAAGAAATATAATCATTTTCAATTAGTTCCTCATCATCGGCTCTACACTAATATGTATTTTTTGCATCAAAATTTTTTACTAATCAAGTGGTCATTTTAGTTAATCAGTTTTAAGTATAGGCGGAGGTGAAATTAAGAGGTTAAAGGTCATCAAAACAAATAACTAACAGATGCTAGTAACAAGACATCTAAGTTCTAAAAGAGGGGTGAAAATTAATTACGGAATTCAAGACAACTTGATTCGTAGATATCTTGTTACTAACATATATCAGTTATTTGTTTTGATGACCTTTAACCTCTTAATTTTACCCCCATCTATAATTAATCACTTGATTAGTAAAAACTTTTGATGTAAAAAACTATTTATTAGTGTAGAGCCAACGGGGATGATGAGGGACTAATCGAAAATGATTATATTTCTTCGCTCAATCTATTGCTTTTTTCTTAATGCGTAAATGGGAATTCGGAAATTACTAAAATAAGAAAAATCGAACCGATTTTATATGTCATAACAATTTTGCATTGATGCGTATTGATAATTTATTAATTAAACAAAATAATGCCTGATAGGATTATTAAAACAGCGGTGACAGTGAACGGGAAAAAAGTATATATATATATATATATATATATATATATATAATATATATATATAAAGGCAGTTAGATAACTTACGGTAGGTTTCGTGGCAGGTGAAATAGTTAACGGTAACGTTAACTCAAAACGTTCCAATAATCGTAGAGATAATTCTGGATAAATAGAACATAATTCAGCTAAATCATGCCTGTCAATGAATTGAACATCGGCATATGTCAGTGCACGAACAGCAAAACGAGATTTTGGAGGTGGATTCGGTTGATAAACAACACCGTTCGCATTATTGCCATTATGGTTATTATTATCGTTCTGCATAGATGCATAGTCTTCACTTTGCATAACTTTTGAACTAGTATTCATGTTAGCAAAACGATTGTTTACACAATAATCCCATGCATTTCCGAAATTGTTTGTATTTAGGTTCTTCTGCACTGTAGCTAGAGGAGGGAGACCACCGAAAAAATCACCAGGATTCAACACACCTAAAATGACGTCATCTGTGGTCACAACCTCTAAACTGCCTTTAACAACATAATAGACAGCTGTCAATAGATCACCAGTGTGCACTAATGTATCACTTGGTGGCATATGTGAAGAACGGATACGCAGAGATATATTTCGAAGGCAACCATCATTTAGTGCTAAATCAAGTGAAGAATATAACACAAATGAATATTAACTAATTACATTGATAGAACAAATGAAAATCGTACAGAAAGTTAAATTTTTAATTAGGAATCTACACGTTTTTCAATAAAGTTTTTTTTTTTAAATTGCCTATGAGGACACATCTCTGTCATGGGGGGGGGCGGGGAAGAAACGCCATGAAAGAAGTTAGTCGACACAAAGCTTTGAATGTAGTTTTCATGATTTCTGCCATTCGTTATTATTATTATTCCCTTGGGTTCCAAGTGGAGCATAAGGCTTCAACAACACATCCCCATTTCATCCTGTTCTCTGCAGTCCTCTTTAACAGGCCCCACGATTGGCTGCTGTCATCTCTATCTTCTTCTCACACGATCCTCTCAATGTATCCTTCGAATGCCAAACTTGTCGTATCCCACTCGAGTGCCTGGTGGACGATATCACCCGATGGTTTCCTCAACACATGTCTAATCTGTAACTCGTTATTAAGGTGTATTTGTAGCCTTGATTACACCTAACATTTAACAAGGAACACCAACCTTTTCAGGAATGTTTGAATTGTATGTTATTCCGCAAACAACGAAGAATAGCAATTCGATTATTATCATCTTGTAACTACTGTTTTGGAAATGAAAACACAGACAGACGTTGACAAAAAGTGTGAAATAGTAAGCTCTGAGAGATAAAACTCTTTGTAATACCAAGCTAAAATAAATACAATGTGTCCTTAAGACACATTTGAAATCGATGTTTCGATGAAAAATTCTACAGTAGCCTAGTCTGTACCTTTTCATGACTAATTCCATTATAAATAAATTTTTAAAAGTTAATTTAATCATCTTTTACACTTTTCTCTACTTCTTCCCAAAACACGGTGAACACCTTTCAATCATATTTGATCAAGCAGTCACTGTATAACCAAGCAAAAACAGAGGAGAAGAGAAAACAGTTGAAGGTTTGGAGAATGATATTCTGAGGAAAAAGTACTTGGTATGACACGTATGCAAATATCATTTCCTTTTTATTTATTAGGCATATTATTTATCCTAATCTGATTCTACTAGACATTAGCTGGACAATAAATGCTGTTAATTGGCTACTGCTGAAATACAAGGGGGAGGGGAGGGGAGGGAGTTGTTGTTACTCAGAATAATCGAATGCAAAAAAGATAATTGTCACTGATAGAAATTGTATTGGTGCAAAATCTATTTTACATAGACATAGTATTGACAACAGTAATGAATGCAGAACTGTTAGACAATCATCGCGTTGTATGATTTCAGATTCAAGACAAAAGTTATCAAGCAGTCAAACTTAGTATTACAGTAACAGTAACAATAAGATTGATGAGAATAACAAAATTTTAGTAAGAACAACAACAACAATAGTAATGCAATTTATCCATGTACATTTTATGCCACTTCATAAAATAGTGAACAAAAGTGGGGCAAAGTAAAACTAATCAAGTGAACAGATTCATGTGTACAACTTCACTGTTATATTGTAACAAGAGAAGGCAAGACACGGAAGTCAAGATGTCTTTTTCACTAATCAAACCGCTGTTTATATATCTACAGTTTATATTCGTTAACCAATCACTGAGCGTGTGATTTTGGTTTACATAAAACGACGTGAAATAGAATGTTCAAATATACATGGTAATCTCTTGCTAACGCAGTATTGAAATGTGAGAATAATATTCTGACTCTAGCAACAAACAGAATACTTAAATAGGTATTTCTTATTTATTTATTTTGATTACAGTTTGATTCCACAGAGTATTTTGGGTAAAAGTATGGAATTTTCAGCATGTGATATCGGTAGCCCAAATTTTGCAGGCTGACCAGTGATATTAGGTGTGCGTCGGCCGGGGATCAAACCCCGGATCATGTGCATCGTCGAAGAGAGTCTTAACCGCTGTGTCACCGCTAATGCCGCATTGAATTGTGGGTATATGTAAGAATAATATTCCGTTGGAACACATTGTCTGTATCACACCACCACGGTATAACCGAACATGTTTTTATATATGTGCAGATTAACTACCAATACTTAGACTGAAATATATAGGGAATCGAACACTTGACCAAAAGTGATGTAGTAGTATAGTACTAAAGGATGATGGCAGACTATTAGTCAAAGTTTATAGTCGAGTCACTAAGGTATACTATATTTTTGTCTTGGACACAAAACCACTAAACAATGTAGTAATAACATCTTTGACGTCATATATATATCTGTGAGCTCGAGCTGCTTTCGCTGACTTACACCATCTCCGGCGCAGGCGTGACATCCGGTTATCAACCAAGGGACGTGTGTACTGCTCAGCAGTTCGCTCCGTCCTTCTCTATGGCTCTGAAACATGGCCAATACGCGTTGAAGACATGAAAAGGTTGACTGCTTTCGATCATAGATGTCTGCGATCTCTGTCTCACGTTAGGTGGTTTAATAAGGTAAGTAATGTTGACGTTAGGCGTAGTGTTGGGCAAAGAGGGAAAATCAATCGACGAGGCTATAAAGTTACATAGACTAAGATGGCTAGGTCACGTGCTGCGCATGCCTAACCATCGCCTCCCCTGACGGGCATCACTAGCTGATATAGCTGCAGGTTGGAAAAGAGTAAGTGGTGGCCAAACAAAAACATGGCATCAATCCATGAAATCCTTGACAGTTAAACTGAGTCAGGTAGGGAGATGCAGACTTCCGGGTTGGGGCCCTCGGGACTCTAGGAATCAATGGCTGGAGACAATAGGTGACATGGCTCAAAGTCGTTGTCACTGGCGCTGATGTATTCAGTCTTGTAATCTTTCATATTCCTTTCTACCATTACCCATTCTGTTTCACTATTATACTTGTCAGACTGTATTGATTCTCTTCACTCATCTTCTTGTCTACCTTTGTGTGCTATTTAGAACGTGGCAACTGGAACTGGTGCACTTCGGTGCCAAGTTCTATGTTGAATCCAGACAGACAGATATATCTGTGACTCCGATTAAAATTCCCCTGAGAATAGGCAGTTTCTCAGCATTTATGAATCCCAACAAAGAGAAATCTATGTAGATAAGCTTTTAATTAGGAAATGATTCTCAGCGTGAAAGCTACCAAGTAACCTAAGAGAAAATATTATACTGATAATGACTTGAAATGAAGGAACCAAATTCATTTATCGATCAAGAGTAATTTCCACATGGAACAGAAACGATGGATAGGAGTATTCCCTACCTCAAATATTTTCGTTTCATAGGTGACAGATACCGTAAGTTTGATACGTAATATATGGTATGCGTGGCATACATTAACAATGTATTTCAGTGAACGTATGCAAGTTTGTGCAATAAACCTGTAATTCCAATAGATATACAGCATTAATTTCAGCTCCCTTGCTACTTACTACTGTTACAAATACTAAGTGAAAATCAATTGAGTACCTATAGACCAATGAAGTACAACTTCATGTATCTATCAAACCACAGCAGCCGATTAACTTTTATGACTTACACCGATGTTAGCAATAAAACATCTTTTCACTGAATTGTCTAGGGACAAATAAAATGTTTTATGTAGGATAAAAAATGAAGAGCATATACACATATAATAAACTTCAACGTACACTTGAATGCGGCTGATCCACTTAAAAAATGACGGTAAACATAAAGACAAATATCTGATTGTAATGACTCTGGAAAGCTATATTGAACCATTGTCATATCTATGCCGTTAGTATGCTCCCATACTTGAGTAGAATATTCTTCTAATCGTTGACGTAATGGACTTGGTATCTGATGAAAACGTATGAATTCTTTAATACGTAACATTTGTGCATGATAACGTGCTGTTCCACTGTACAAGCGTTGAATCAGTGCACCAACATTACCAAAATACTTGCATACATTAGGGCTAAAAATTGATAGGTAAAGAGAAAAGAAACAAAAAGAATGAAATGCTTGGACATTGGTGGATAAGGCCTTATAAAATCCGAAGTTAACTCGGAACCGGTTACATCATTATGCAGGTTGGAAGTTATCTAACTTCACGCCAATTATTGAATTATGGAACAAGTTGTAAATCTGCTGGGTGAAAAATTACACTTACACAGTACCTTATTTCAACTTCTGAATATCTCAGCTTTAGTATGATTCGTTTTTTATTCTACGTTCAAACTAGTTCCTCTCTTTTAAGATTTTTCAAATGGTCATACACATCCTTTGTAATTAGTTGCCTGTTGGTTTGATATAAGACGCGACTGAAGTTTAGTATGCACTCATTGGACTTTTATTTCTTCGTTTCAGCTTATCAGTTTTTAGAGTACCATTTAGTTTGAGAAGGGAAGAGAAAAATCGCTTAGTAGCGTTTATAATATTGACAATGACACCTAGTGCAAAAGCACCCTATAACAGTCAGCACCAAAACGACTAGCTGATGTTACCAGCTGTACATACAGTAAGACCCTTGCTAACAGACAATGTTCTCATTTCTTAGAACAAAATTTGCAGATATCCATACACAGTCTGGAAAGGCGATGATAATAAACACTTTTACTAGAGATTTTATTATTGTTTAATATAAGTGTTTACTGCAAGTAGGCATATCATAGTTCAGTCAATATAAACGCGGACTGTCCTGAAAAAGAAAACTATGCTGGTGTACACAATTTGAGCTGTTGTAATGACAGGTGGCGGCTAAAAGTGTAATCAATATTTCGAGCCAATGGTTGCAGATCTGATCATGTGGATATGATAACCCTACTAACTGGACAACCTTGGGACTAACTGTACACCTTTCTCGCTTCATCGTCTAACCAATTCCCAATCGCCAACCGATCAGAACAATTCATTTTCCACTAACCTAGCCAAATTCTAATGCAGTTAGGATTGCATAAACGTGATGTGTTTCTTCCTAATAAAAGTCCATATCCTTACAGTCACAGGCCAGTCTTCGTTTTTTGATTTATGCAAGGCTCAGTGAATCAGAAAGTACTAAAGACGAATGGGTGTGTTTGTATTCAGCTGAGATGTCGATAGCGTTCAGACTTACCATACCCATGTATAAACCCACTCGGTCACATCAGATACTGAGAAACACTTGTAATGTTACCTCCGTTTATTTAGTGTTTTCTGTTTTAATAAGTGTAATACCGCATCGCAGGAGAATAGCATGATGTTTATACTACTGATTAGCCAATATGAGTAGTTAGTGGTGGTGCGGCTCAAAATAGTTCACAATGGTGCAGATGCATTGACTCTTGTAATCTCGCATGCCCATTAACCCCTCATGTATTCTCATGTAGATGCTATTTCTCCTGAACGTTACTGCTTAACATAGTTCTTTCGAATCTATTTTTCTCCCTACCTTTGTGTACCATGTTGAGAATGTCAACTTGAAGTACTGTACCACAGTGCAAAGTTCAATGTTGAAGATTAGTCCGTCATGAATAACTGGATAAAATTAACATAAACTAGTAGTGCTTGCCGGCCACATCAAAGTGATATAAACAATGGACGGCAGTTCCGTTCATTTTGAGGTCGTGATTTGCAGTTTACACAGATCGAGGTGCAATTTCACTGGTCTCCTTTGTAAACTGGAAATTTTCAGGTCTGCTTGATACCATAAGTGGTAATCAAAAAACTAAGTATAATTTTTTTATTTTTGATTACAGCTTGACTTCATACCGAATTTTCGGTACATGTATGGAATTTTCAGCATGTGATATCGGTAGCCCAAATTTTGCAGGCCGGCCATAGATATCAGGTGTGCGTCGGCAGGGGATCGAATCCCGGACCATTTGCATGGTCGGGGAGGTTCATAACCACTGTGCCACCGACGCAAAATGTATGACGCTATAGACTTACTACCGATTGGCTGAAATGAATAGTCGTATACCGCTCACAACAACTAGCAGTGCTTTTTACCGAAGCCATAGTCTGGTCTGACTGTCTAGCCCGTGTTCCTAGTTGATGCGATTGGTATACAACTACTTATCCCAATCAATAATAAGTAAGTATATAGTGTCACCTAGAAATTTCAGGAGACCAGCAGCATCATCATACGACAAATATTGCTTCAAGTAGTACGAATCTTTTTCGAATAAAATAAAAATTACACCGTATCACCTACGGCCTAACGCAAACAAGAAGAAAAAACGCAAAGAAAACACTTATAGTGTAAATAGCAAGCTTTCACACACAGACATACATCAAAACTTTTAGGGATAAAAATGGAAGAAAAACTGCATTATGATGTTACTTTTAAGGAAAGGTCAAATAAGGAGAAAGAAATGACTGGTAGTATCCATGTGTGTTTAAACGCAAACACACCTTAACAAGTAAACATCATTATCATCCTTAATTGACAGAGAACACTGAATAGAATCAATCAACCTACCAATCAATCAATATAATTTTTGAAAATAAACAAATAAATAGGCGAAAGATATGTAATACTTTAAACCAATAACTGATGCAAGGCGAAAAGACAAAGTAAAAGGTAGGCTGAAATGTTGGTGGTGGACTGTGGAAAGACAACAGTCACAACACGAAACTTACATCCAACTAGCATAACAACAATGGAGAAAATTTTTTCAGCATTTGTATTCGGGCTGACATTTCCAAAACCGATTGATGTAAGACTAGAAAATGTGAAATATAGTGCTGTGATATATTTTGTTTTCAAATCCGGACCTGAATTCGGTTGATCAGTATAATATTGTTCTGTATGTATAGCAAGTGTGTCTAACCAACCAATTTTCGGTTCCCTATACAAATGCTCTGCATGACCAATGGCATACCTATAAAGAAACGAAACAAGAGGAAATATGTAGAAGTGCTTCTTTTGAAAAGGAAAAAACAACTAGTTCTCCTAAAAGCTTTGTTTTTAAACTGATTTATTATTATTGCTCCCTTGGGTTCCTAGTGGAACATAGGGCTTCAACTGCACTTCTCCACTTGCCTCTGTCTTCCTTCTGCTGTACTTTTACCTGCATCCATGTTAGTCCATACTCTTTCAACTCCTCTTCACACCATCTCCTCCATGTCACCCTTGGACGTCCCACACGCCGCTTCCCTTTAGGCCTGGTTCCACTCGACCAATGGCTTGACGCGCGCGCGATGTCACCCAGCGTTCTCCTCAACGAGTGTCCGATCCATCTCCACTTTCTCCTGCATATTTGTTGGGCGGCGATTGGTTCTTGCTTTGTTTGTTTCCATAGTTCCTTGTTGGTGATTCTCTCCGACCCGGCCATCTGATCTTGAGTATAGAGCCAGCGAAGACAGTTGTTGATAAAGGTCTGCAACAGGCTGTTGGAAATATTCTTTGTGACCCGTCCGCCAAGTTTCTGATCCGTATATAAGAACTGACTGACTTGACTCTGTTTGTATTGAAAATCCGACCGGATTCTGTTGTTGATGCTGAGTGACGAAGATTTCCTTCCAGATTGGTTTCAGGTTGATGAATTTGTTTCTCGTCTTCCCCATTCTCCCTCGATTTGACATCCTCGTCCCTTCCAACTGCCTGTAGTTGAGACAATGCTCCCTAGATAAGTGAACGAAGTGACCTCTTTCAAGTCCCTCCCGTTGATGGTGATTGACGCTGGATGTTGCTTTTGTTGTTGTTGTTGGTTGGTTGGTTATTTTGATAACCTCCGTCTTGTCTATGTTCACTTGAAGTCCTGTCTTCGCCGGCTGCTTCTTCGACCAGTTTGTTGGTTTTCACTTGTAAGTCTTCGATTTTGTGACAGTGACATCAAACATAAATCATCCACGTGCGAAATCCAGATCTTCCAGGTTCTTCGCGTCGGTCCAGGATATCCCTTTCTTCTCGTTTCCCACTCGCTGTCTGACGCATAATCCAGTCAGTCCACCACAATTAGGAATATCATCGTGGGTGATAATAAGCACCCTTTTCTGACTCCTGTGTTTACTCCAAACGCCTCGCTGAGTTTTCCGTTGTGGATGACTTGACATGTGCCGTTGTCGTACAGTCGTTGAATAAGGTTGATGAATATTTGGGGTACGCCATAGTACTCGAGTAGTTTCGAAATTACTTCGCGGTCAACGCTGTCTACCGAAGGCCTTCTCAAAGTGTATAAAGTTGAGTTAGAGGTTTGATTGGCATTCCATGCTTTGTTTTGTGATGATGATGGGTAGAGTTGCAATTTGGTCAGTACATGATTTGCCTTCCCTGAATCCAGCTTGTTCTGGTTGGAGTTCTGCATCCAGTGCGTCCTTCATTCTCTCCAGGATGATGCGACTCGGGATTTTACTTGGCGTCGACAGGAGCATGATTCCTCGCCAGTTCTTGCAGAGTCCTAAGTCGCCCCGATTTACTGGGATTTTATTGAGAATGGTAAAGTTCACCAGGTACAAATGAGAACGATTGACATTTGTTGATGTAAGTTGTGATAGATAAGCCATGAAATCTTGAATCCAGTGACTGGGTGACAATCTATTTTTTCCGGATGTTGAATAAGAGAATGTGTAAAGTCATTGGTGTGAACTGATAAAATCTGTCGAAATTAAAGTGAAACTTCTTTCAAATTGTCCTTGTTTTTCAATGGTGTTTTAACTGATATCGATTCATTTATTACGAACTACTCTGGAAAAGTGTTTAGTAGCCTAATTTATAGCAGATAGGTTAGTTTATTCAGCAGGAACTCTAGTGCTTATAAACTGTCTTAATAGAAGTATGTGCCGACAGTATTTCATCTTGTGAAACGAGGTGACAGAATGCAAAATTACCGGAGTTTCACCGCCAAAAAGCATTCATTATTATAACTTTAAGTGATACAAATAAGATAGATGTTTATACCATTAATAAAAGCATACTATAACAGTATCACTGTTTAAGAGTCCATTACAAAAGATAATTCAAAATCTTCATCAAACAGATTCCCAGGTACGATTAATTCACATAAAATAAGCAGCCTTTCATATTCCTGAAAAATTGTGCTGCATCCGTGTGTTGCACAGTTTACAGTAAACTATTTGTTTAACAGAATTCAATCAGAGAAACAGGAAAGAACAATATTTTTGTTAATTGTTTAGCAAACATAAATCCTCGGTTCGTGGGATTTGCTGCTTGGCCTTCAGTTAGTGGGTCATGTATTCGATCGTCTTTTACTTAACAGGGTAAACAAAGTCAAGTGCAGGTACATTAAGTGTAAATTCCCACTCATTTATTTTATGTGGTCTTCAAAATAAAACAATGCTAAACACAATGAAACATAAAAGTCACATCCACTTACCAAATACAAGCCAACCAATGGGCGATTAAAGCAAATAAGGCTGTTAATAATATTAAAATTGAAGCACCATACTCTGAATATCTATCCAATTTTCGAACAATACCAACTAGACGGAGAAGACGAGCTGATTTTAAAAGGCCAGTTAGTGCAGTAGGCTAGAGGAATTTTTACAAAAAACAAACGAAAACACTAGGAAGAGCAAATCAAAATTCACAAGAATACTGAACAGACGCCTCCTCCTAGATTTTATTGGTTTTTTTTTAGCGAAAGTAACGGAAAATTTCGACCTGTTAAATGGCAAACAAAGTTGAGTCGCTTATTTGCAGTTATAAAGGAGGAATAAGGTCACAGTCAGTGAACCACCATAGTCACACGGTCAAGTTGAATCTACCACTCAACAGTTCACAATGCCTTCTATAAGCTACTCCAAAAGTGAGCTGATGGTGAAACAAGGATCATCCTACTTATAGTTGTAACATTCACTACCATGTAGTCTTTCCAATCACTGAAACATTCCATATCCCATCAACATACGACTCGCAACACCAACTACTTTTGTTATCCTTAATGCATTTTTCCTAGATTTATAATATTTTGGAGCTTACGATGACATTTACGTCATAACTTCTGTTTGGTTTTACACCTTTTATTTTCATGTGCTAAAACAAAGCGTGGAATCATACATGGTGATATTACATCTTGTATCAATAATGAACGACTTTCTAATTTTTTTCATTCCTTCACGTTCCCAGTGGAACACAGGGCTTCAAGCAAGAGACTTGAAGTTTACTTAGCAGTGGTGTTTATTTTTAGAGGATGGGGTTGCTAGCCTCATGCCCAACCTTTCCTTTTTACCAGTTTTATTACTGGCTTAGTGAGGTAAAGGAGTGCATCGGCTGGGGATCGAAAACCGGAAAACACGCGTGGTCGGCGAGCATTCTGCCGCTCTGCCACCGACACACGACTTTCTAATTAGTAGAATTATTAGCTTATTTTCTAAATGAGTGCTGATGCAAAAGCACAAAAGCTCAGATGTTTTTCTTTTGCCTTCAGTATTCTTCTACCGCTTAAGAGCGCAGGTTTAATACTAGAGCATAGCCGAAACACAAATAAATTTCAGCAGTATCTATCTTTTATCAAAATACTCATTAAACATTTAAGACATACACACACACACACACACACACGATATTTTTTGTTTACAGCTATATTCGGATGTGTGATTACAAAAGAAGGACAACATTTAGTCTTGTTGACAGAAAATAGTTCCAAAAAGCAGCAGGAGATTAACACGTCAGAGTTACAAAGGAGTTTTTAAAATATAAAAAGACTGTAGAGAAATCAACATACTAGTTAAAAAGCAGTGTCTTAATAGATATAAAGGTTAACGGCTAGAGTGAAGGAGACAGTGAAACTATGAAACGAATGGCCAAAGTAAGAGTAAACAGCAGTGGACTTATGTCTTTTCAGACTGCTAACAGTATAAATACGATGGGAACATTGAGTCCTAATTAAGACGAAAATGGTGAAGACGAGACGAAATTTGACACAGCCGATGGATAAATAATATGGAGGTTGTTACCATATAAATTGACGACAATTGTTGTGCTATAATCTTTTAGGACAATCTCTATTGAGTTGTTTGGTATGTATGAGAAGACAATTAGTTAGGAGACAACCTCATCACAAGCGTCCACTGTACTCAAAAAATGAGTCCTGGAGTAGTGACACTGTTATAGAAAGATAACCTGTTCAGAAATTTCAGATGTTCAGGCTAAAGTATCTGCATGTTCTTTTCCTTAAACAGCAGAAATGCATACTTGTCATATTCATCGACAAAATACAGCAGATATGAGTTAAGTTCAGAAAAGTTTTTAACAAAATTACTGTTTAACACTAATAGCTAGTTGCAAAGGGGATAGAGAGTAACTTTAAAAATTATCTGATAGAGAAGTAATATTTTCACATAAAAAAGCTGATCAATTAGTTAATCCACAAATTTTAATTAAGCCATTGGTCTGAAAGTCTGTTTTCACTAGAGAGAACTTCCGTCTAGTCGAATTGCAGACGGTAAGGAAAAGACATAAAACAAACAAAAATATCAGCGAGGTGGAACATCACTGAAATTAGTAAACAAGGGATTTTTCCGATAGTTGATTTTCGACATTTGATGAGGCTTATTATTGCTATAATGCGTTCATTTTTTTGGAAGACTTATACTGCATATATATATGTATATATATGATTGCACACAGTATTTCTAGTACAATTATGGAATTTTCAGCCTGTGATATCGGTAGCCCAAGTTTTGCAGGCCGACCATAGATATCGCGTGTGCGTCGGCAGGGGATCGAACCCCGGACCATGTGCATGGTCAGTGGGAGTCCTAGCCACTGTGCGACCGATGCAAGGTGTGCAGGTGCACCCATGTGGTGAGTTGCCATCACATGAAAAATAAGTGGAACTGAATGCTCCTATCATAAAGACGATCTGCACACATTATGACATCAAAGCATTTATTGGGAAAATGGGGAAAGGTGAAAGGGAACTAAGATAGCAGAAGATAAGTTAAGAAATGATGAAGTTACCTTAACCCAGCGATGAAACCTTTCCAAAGAAAAAAAATAGTAGTTGAAACCCAATCAAAATAAGCCCATCCTGGACTAAACATCTGGTGTGCTGTAATGCTGCAGACGAATTATGTACTTTAGGGATACATATTGTTTTATTTTTCCATTTTTACAGAAATATTTACCGTGTCATTTGAATTGACAAGGGTTAATTTACTCACAAGAAATTCTTTTGACGGTTTGAAGTATTCAGGTGTTTAGTGGATTAACCACATTAATAGAACACAAGTTAGGAAGGTAAGGCAAATACGTCAATCAGTAGTCTTAAGTTTGCAGAGCTAGAAATGTCTGGGTGACGTGTTACAATATCATCTTTCATCCTACATAATGGTGTTTATGAGAACGTAATTTTTCGGGATGAGATACTACACATACTGCAAAGTCGGTTGCTTTTTACATGTGTAATAAAAACACCAGTGAACATAAATTGTATGTTCATTGATTTGATTACACTTGAGATATTTAACAAATTTAATGTGGAGCTAATTTAGCTTCTATGTAGTAGATACGTTCTTTGGTCTTTTTTCCTTTGGACTTAGATTATGCATTATCCAAGAAGGTCTGTTCTGGATCGGTACTAGTCAATAAGTGAACAAAACAATTGGTACTAGTCTTTACTTTCTTTTGCATACCAAGTTGATTTCATCTTTATTGAGATTGAGTCTTTCTAAAACAAAAAAATGATAGCATTGTCGATAAAAATAGGCGGTCACTTATTTTTACAATGATTAATAAATGTATGAACAGACTGTTTGAATATCAGTTGTATTTTTCTCTTCCCTACTCCCAACCCTCTTATTTTTCCTCGAATTTTACCTGATAAAACTTTGCTGTGGGTGAAAACGCCCAAAAGAAGCCTCAATTTGCTTTTTTAGAGAGAGAGAGAAAAGTTAATTAGATTATAAGAGCCTACGTACATTCTTCCTATGACTCGCTATCCTTTGGAATAAACACATCTATATAAAAATATATTAGTTGACATAAAACTCAAATGACCTTCACAAGATGAAAACAAGTAATAGTAAGAAAGTATACACAGAGTGGAAATTCACCTCTATAAAAGTCTTATTTTTTGCAACCTAGTGATGAAAGTTCGAGAAACAGGGAAAGTTGTAGTGGTTACACACACAACTTAGTTGCTATAGTGAAATAATGGGAGATGTGTCAGGCGAATATGAACATCCACCAGTTCACATGACCTGTTTACAATCAAAATGTATTTGTGAAAAATACGAAGTATGCAATACAGTAGAAGTGATCGTGAACTTGACATGCATAAAGAATTATGGGTTTCATTGGTTTTGGTTGTCGATTTATATTTCTATTCAAGAACTATTGTTTTTACAAAGAACATTGAAAAAATGATAAATTCAGAAAACGATTATTTCAAGGAATACATTTGAGCAAATAACGTATAATTATATTTCAATAGTTTACACACAATGACGGTTTGAAGTATTCAGGTGTTTAGTGGATTAGTCACACTAACAGAACACAACTTAGGCAGGTAAGGCGAATACAATATATTGTGTGTAAACGATTGAAATATAATTATACTTTATTTGATCTAATCCACAATGCTCAAACTCTTTACTGATATTAGCATTTGAGCAACTCTAATCAATACTGAGTAGTGCCGATGAGGACTTCGAATTTATTATTCTAAACATTTCGGAGACACCTAAACAACATAAATACACTAGCATTATCTCTTTGTCTAATCACTCATTTTTATTGAATTCATTAAGTAATTTGATGTACTTAATGACTTAAGTATTTATCCTTTTTTCCTCTAAGCGAAGTAAAATCTAATTATTTACGTAATAGTTGTTTTGAGAACGGGTGTACACTATCGGTAGTCATTGTGTAATTTCTTAATATCTTCAGGAACCAATTTTGTGGTGAATCTTGCGCTGCCCTGGTGATAACAAAAAATAAACGAAAATATTCATGAGTCACCCTTTTTCATGTTTAGAAAACTCTACTCTCTGATTTAAACATGAATCACCCTACCTTGTTTCTTTTCTTTCCTTTTTTCTATCGGCTACTAGATAAAACGTTTTCTTTAGTTGCGTAATCTACTTTTTTTGTTGTGCTTTTTTAGGCAAACCTTGTTTCTATACACACACATATATACGCAACCATGTTTTTTGTTTCCAAGCCTAATTATCTAATTATTCTATAAATAGTCAGTGTTTGTAACTCCTAATCAGTTAAATCATTCCGGACTAATGTTACTCTTAATTCCTACCAATTACTCTTTATGATCGTGGAAAAGTATGTTCATATCTTTAATGTAATTCATATTTTTTATCGTTCAGGTTGTAACCAGTTGAGAAGAATCCTCAAAATAATAAAAGATGAGCTCATATTATCCTGGTACAATTGTTGTTCTTGCTCTGTTCAATTCTGAGTAATTGTATCAGTTATGTTATCGCCACCACCACCTATTACTCAATAAAAAAACTAGCATATATTTTTTGGTAGATGTCAATACGATTCTACAGCCTTTGAAGATGACTTTATCAATAGGAAGTTTAATTTGTTGGATTGTCTCTTAATTTCTCTTAATTCAATGTATACCTGTCTCTTTGTGTTTGATCCGTTTTATTCTCTTCTGACAGAATGTTGCAAGAAAAACACACTCTTTACTTGTTATTCGTAGATGTTAGAGCCTTATAATATTGAGTGAAGATCTAATAACAGATCAGTTAACTTGATATAAAACAATCATACCGAAATACTCACATAACTTTCTGATTTTTCTAACAGATTTATTATTTCTTACTCTCTGATTTTGTTGACCACAACGCTTTATATTTTGTTGATATTAGGGGATTAGCAACAAATTTAACAGGACTGATACTCTTTGCCAAATAGTTAAAGGCGACAACCCTAAATTATTACTAAATGAACATTTCCAACTCTTCGTAACCAAATATCCGCTTGAATAAAGAACATTATACCTAGCTTCACTAAAGCAAGTGAACTGATGAACGCACATAAAATTGGTCAACTGCAGGGATCTTATCTTTCAGGTTATTGAACAGCATCTAAATGAAAGCATTACATTGATTGTAATGCTTTCATTTAGATGCGTCAATTTCATAGTATCTCTTTTCTACCACCACTCGAACATTAAAGTAGTTTGCAGCTGATGAGAACCTGTGAAATAGAATGATATCATTTTATACTGCAAATTTCGTCTTCCTTTCTTTATCGAAATTTATCAAGGGAACCAAATGTATGATTCACATATTTATACAGTTGTATATGATTCATTTGAAGAAGTCAGTCATTGAAAGTCAATCAATGTCTTGTTATGTTAACCAACTTGTTTTAATGACTGCCCATTTCAAAATGATCAATGGTGACTGCTAAGCACTGAAGACTTTACACCGAACAGATAGATTGCGATTATAGCCGACACAACTGATTTTGATTCACATAGAATTATTGTATCAACTTTAATTAGTATTCTTAATTGGAGACAAAAATATTTGTTTCACAATTTATTTCAAAAATCACTAAAGCCATAAATAACCTAGTCTACAGGTGGATAAAAAAAAACATCTAGGTAACTGAGACAGAGAGGAGGAGATATACACAAAAGGGAAAAAAGCCTGTTGGTAAAAACTGCCTTTTACTTACTTGATCTCCAGATGAACGATAAAACAACAGATCGAATGGGATAGCTGCTACCAGATCAATTATAAACCAGCCTTTGATATAATGAGCAGCGATACGCTTGGGGTGTGAAACAACTTCATCATTTTTATTCACATAGGTAGTACGAAAATTAATCAGAATGTCAATTATGAACATGATATCGACTAGAATGTCAACAGTTGACAATAATTTTGACGCACCCTGAGAAGTTGTAGTCGAAGACGACGACTGGACAGAATGAATGTTCAATGTTGAATTATTCATAGTCGACGATTTATTTCGTAGATAACTAGTACCAATAACGTTTGCAGAGGAGGTATTTCCTGACTGCATAGATGAATTACATGGAGTATGAGGAATACAAAACAAAACAGGTTATAATTTACAAACATAGAAACAAAATGTACAAATTAACTATCTGTAGGTTCATTTATTTATTATAGGGAGCACTGGTATACTATTATCGTCTACCATATAATATTTAGAGCACAATTTATTGACTTCATCAGGATATTCATAAGACTTTGAAATTCTGTTTTCAATGTTCAGCACTTTTTCCTTTTTATTCGTAGAACTTTCTAAAGGCCGGGATGACTGCTCAGTTATTTTTAATAGATAAATTACGCACTGACTCCAGGGTCAAATACTGAGCAATAACTATTCTCGTTTCACTTTTACTATGCTGGATTTTAAAATTTTCACCATGATCTGTCCTACAGTATGATTACCTAACGATAAATAGATGGAAATCTCTGAAATGTTTCTAGTCGAAGTAGTATAGTAGAATCATCTACTATTGTATCTAACTATCTATCCCACGAAGTTTCTTTGCCATGATAATTATAAGACTTCATTGGGGTTTGCGGTTGTAAAGCAGCCTATGATGTAAATTACAAGATCAAAGCGATGTAGTTTGTTAATGACTGATCAAATTAAACTCGACGATTGTAATATTTGTTTTTTAAATTAATTTTCATCACGTCAGTTGAGAAAACCAAAGAGTAACCTTTATCAGTGCATATGCACGAATGCTATCAGACTCCTAAACAAGCTCATAACCATTCATCTATTATAATTGGTATACAGAAGAGTATTCTCGGATTTCCCGCAAAATACGCAATACGAGACTATCATGACACATTGGCATGAGTAAGCATTTATCCCCGCACTCTACAAATAATGCCTTTGAATAGTTTACTAATTACCATGAGATTGTTATTCAGCCGGAAAACTGTTAGGCAACCAATTTCACTCTACAGTAGTTTTTATCAGCGATTTTATATCTACTGTGTCAATAAAGAAACGTGGAAGTATATAACTGGCACCCAAAATAATACTGCCAAAATAAGTTGGCAAATTTGTGAAAAATAAGAGGAAAAACAAAGAACAAGGACTCAACTGAACTATCAGCGGCGAACTTTGCACAAAAGGGGATCAATTCAACTTGCGATACTTCAAAACAATGAACTTAAAATCAAGGAAGAAGAATACAGTGATTTTATAATGGACGAAAACACAAGTCAGAAAGGACAATTAAATAAGGATTACTTTCAGTACTATGATAATAAAGAAAGGAAATATATCAATGGTGCTAAGAACTACTTCAAGTTATGTCACCGACAGTTTCCAAACACTGATTCCTACCCTTCCAAATAAAAACCAGTGGTGGTCTATACCTCGCCAACAGTCAAAGGCTTCATGCTAATTTCTGGTTTGACCACATTTAATTACTCTTACAATCGAATTCTATATCAGTTAACACTGCTCGATGCGGAAAGAATTTCATATTCCAGTCGTCCCACTGGACATAACTTCACCATCTTATTAATAGACTTCCTCTCCTTAACTAGGATTCCACATAAAATATCATTATTACTCGTCAACACGATACACAGATCAATTTCCTATCCTTAAACTAATAGTCGGTGCACACCAGTCCTGCAATCTGTATCACAGTTTAAATTGTGTACACCGGTACAATTCCTTATTTCATCTGTTTGTATGCAAATTCGTTACTTCCGATGGAACTTATCTGCCCAGAAAAGATTTCGCATATACCAGGCTATGATTCATACGTATGGATGAAGCTGATGAGACTGCTTACTCATTTGCCCAGGTTGAGTTAGGTGGATAGGTATTCCAACTTAGCACCTGCTGTCTACAATTTGAGTGCATAAGCTGAAGAGTTTCATGTTCACATTGTTAATTTAAAACAACAGTAAGTCAGACCCATAAACCTATGATTATTTTAGTTAATTACTGAACCAAAGCATTATAATCAATGGTGTGTACGCTGACTAGGAGTTGACGGCAGACGATCATAAACATGCTACCAATGAATTTAAAGCTGCGACTTATTATTTTGGGGCACTAGACTTCTCATTGTGATATTGATTTCCACTCAACCTACCAATGTTCCAAAGTGTAGTGTACAAACATGCACCTCAATTAACGTATTCAGCTTAACACAACAACTTTATTGAAGACAAAACAGCCTAACCGAGAAAATTTGCAAGCGGAAGACAAATTGTAAATTTAATTAAACTAAGTATAGACTTAGAGGGGTAGTTGGTAGGAGGGTGAAGTAGTTGCAGATGGTAAAAATTCAAAGTAAGACCAGTAACAAGCACGAAACTATGAAGTGGAAAAATTCTAATTTAACAGTTCTGCAAATATTTTTTCAACGTTTATCAAAAGCACAGAAAGTCTTTTTCATCAAAATAATTATACCAGTTGTTCATTTCCTTAAATAGACGGACTGATAGGCACATGATGGAACTTTTGGAGATCACAACATTTTTCAATCAAAAAAAAACTAATACTAGTTACACCGAGTTACTTAGTTCAATCTTTGATTATTTTTCCTGATAAAGATGCTGTTCTTTCTAATTATAGACTTCTTTTGCAAGTGTCCGAAGTCTCATTTAACTATATTTTAAACATAAATAACTACAAATCACATAATGCAAGCCATTAAATTAAGGACACAGGGCTAGTCACTATTACCGAATCGGATGAAAACACCACTAGTGCACTGGACTGAACTGAAGCGAATGTTCACGTAGAACCACACAAAAAATTGCGACAGTTCGAGTTTTCCCATTTCGAAAAGCGTACATACAGTTAGACAACAGAACTGATTTAATTACACTAAACCCAAATGAACGGGAAAAAGAACCACCAGATGAAAACAATGAAGAGTTAAATAACTTGAGAGATCACGAGGAGTGACAACATTTGCGCCAATGGCAACGATTTCGAGTCAGGTTACCAACAGTCTCCAGTCATTTATTCTTAGCGTCTAAAGAACTCCCTACGTCGCTCAAGCATGCAGCCAAAAACTACATGGGTTGATGCTTTTTTCGACTTAACTGTAACTACTTTTCAAAAATAATTCTATATAGGTCAATACTTCTCATTGAGGATGGAGATGGCTTAGTATACTTAACATATGCCCTGCCCATCTTAATCAATATCGCTTCACAATCTCATCGATTTGACTTGACTCTCTATCAGTCTATGTCTAACTTTATTATTAATAATACTATTGCTCCTTTCAACACTAGAATTAAGTATAAACACTTATAATCAGAAACTGTTAGTCTCTTTATATATTTTGCTTTCAACAGCCACACCCCACAGCTGTAAGTTACGGAGGAGCGGAAAGATGTAAAGTAAACACGTCCTTTGGTGGATAGCCAGATATCCCGCCGGTATCAAAGGTGTTACCAGTTGGCGAATGTCAAACGAGTCTTTGTATATATACTGAGATTTCGTCAGTAATCAGACAACTGGGGCTGATGCTAGTCCCTAAGTAACAGAAGTAGACAATACGCTCAAACATACTAGTCGGTATCCTACAAGTAAGAAAACGCATGATTTAAACCCAAATATGATAGAGAAGATTTGTATCTCAGGTGGATGATTCTGATGTGATTGTGTTTTCTGAGCTGGATGGTTAACTTGCAAAGCTTTCATCGCCCTACTAGGCGACATCTTCAGCGCATACACAACCACATCAAAATTAAACCCAAATAAACTGGCAACGAAACAGTCTACATTCCGGCCTGAAAACATTTAAGTTGTTCAGATGAATTCAAGGGAAGAGTTCGAAAGTTGATGTGATTGCGTCGCGCCTTTGAGCTGCCAGTGTAACAAAACACAACAGTATTTGGTATAGAAATCGTTTATTTGATGTTTACTCATTTATATTTAATGTACATATATAGCGAAATACATATACTTTACATCAAAATCACCATTTGCACATGTTCACCTTACTGTGTTTCACTTGTCTTTTCATGTTTTTTTGTTGTTTCACAAGGATCTTTCATTTCTCTTCTTGGTCATTTAAAACATCTCTCCGTTATTCCATGTTCTTGAGAAAGACGTCAAACAATATAATACTTAAAAAGTAAGCGTGTATTTGGAAATGATTGAAGTCACCATTCATTGAGTGTTGTCATCCTGAAATACCGGTTTCGATGGCTTGGACATGTACTACGAATGTCATCCCAAAGGCTGCCGTAACAGTCACTGTTCGCTAGTCCTGGGACTGGATGGAAAAAGCGGAGGGTCGGTCAGCCAATGGAGTGATGCCATAAGATGAAAGACATTTATGTTAGGTTAGCATCAGTTACGGTTCCCCAGATAGTTCACATCAGTGTCTCAAAATGTTATCAGATATAGCCAAGAATGGCAGCAATTAGCAAGCATGCTTTCTTTCCTTTCTGAAAGTAACATGAAGTGATGAATATTGAGTGATCTTGACAAGTATTTTTGTTTACTTTATGAATGACGTCCCTCATTTATTCTGTCCCTACTTTATATACTGTTTTATTACTTTTGTGGCTCATCTCAGTGTCCAGACTTTACCAAGTTTGTTTTAAATAAAATAAAACTTAAAAGGTCCTACCAGTAGCACCTACCATACTAGCCCTGACAGACGCCTACATTTTGAACTGCGGAACTCTACTACCAACTTCTAGCATCACTTTCAAAAGCCAGATATACGATACTTCATTGTCAGTATACACAAAACTGACTAAATTCATTGATAGACAGAACGAGTCTAAACTAATGTATGCACCAAAGGATTCTACGAAAAATTTACACTTGAATCTTCTTTTGCATTTGTATAAGCAAAAAGGAATTTACATCTGTAAGCTAATTTAATAAAATTACAGCTGTTCACTGGCAAACATTATCATAATTAAACTTTACATTTTCTATCGTACCTACCATTACTATTATTATTCTTGCTACTAGTATCACTGAAAATTAATAGCGTCATTAACTGAGTATTAACAAAGAGAAGAGGGGAGGTACTGTAAGGTAGGCTCATGTTCGAAGAAAATTGACTACGCATAGAATCAGTAATCAGGCATGTAAAGTGAAAAAATGGGAGCGTTTAAAGTATATTTTTCAGCAGTGTACGCCTTTATATATATATATATATATATATATATATATATATATATATCGACATGGTAAAGCTATAGTACAGTTGCGACGATCATTACGATGACGTACAAAAGTCAGTGTAGTCTATGCTAAAGACCCAAAAAGGATAATTACTGACAATTTGGCCAACAGAATACACAAATGCACAACCAAATCTTACATGCACACTCGCTCCACATGTATTTGTTAAAAAAATAATAATAGTAACCAATACTAATTAGTCAGTTGTGCATTCGGTTTTTGAGGTAATTTTTTTCTTTTTTCCAGTGAAAAATAAATCCAAAATCTTTAGGTAACTGATGAACAACATGGCTTCATAAATAGCTGCCACACATTTTGAATTAGTTGTCTAGACGTTGGTAGAACGCTTTAGTGTGTGTCGAATCAACCCTGAGTTCCTGTGGTCATCATCATAAACGTCTTCTTAGAAAAAATGTTTTAATTGAATCAATTACAAACACTAGGGCAAATAGATGATGAACAAAACCAGTTTCTAAAATAGATACTGGTCCTTCAGAAAATATGAGCATCATCAGCATTTGTTAAAAATGTCACGAATATGGTGAATGAGGCCAGCTGTCGTTTGGCTGGGAGGATTATTGTGTGATGCCGCGCACCAGGCTTTCAACTGGAATTTCGATGGTTATTCATGAATGACATGTAGTAGTTGATGTGAACAGGAAGTGAAAGCTTGTGGGCAGTTGGGCAGCCAGTTCAAAGTGATTTCAGAGAGCCGAGTGTAATCGAGATTTGCTGCTGAAGCAATATGTTCCACTTGCAGACTAAGGAACCAGTACTACTGCTGCTAATAATAATAATTGTAGTAGCAATAGTAATAATAATAATACATTGACTCAAGAACTTACTCAATGCCTTTGTAGTCTACTGATAGAATTTCCGGGTTTTTTCACTAATATCTAACGTGCTGCACCCTTTTATTATAGCCCAGAGGTGAAGTGAAGTTACTAGGTTGGTACAATCGCAAGGGCGATGACAACTGTAAATACTTAACCATATATTAACTCAAGACTATTCGCTTCACGATCAGTTAGTATATATTTATTGGTGGTGAAAAACATAAAAATATGTTTATATTGATCACAAATTACAAAGTCGTTAACAGCATGCAGGTGTACAAAGGAAAGAATAGCTTCATTACTTACGGAAATTAATTTTGCATACTTGTTTCCGGTATTCATGAGAAAAACTGTCATATACGGAGTGAAAATGGCAGTGTAAATAATTAGTACCAAAATAATCCAATCCCAAACAGCTTTGAAAACACTGTAGTGTTTTAAAGTAAATTTATGCATACGTGGAGACTGGAAACGATGCTCCACATGCAAATCTTCATCCATAGAGAGGAACTTTATATGTGAAAAAGGGACAAAGTATAATCAATGAATTTCGAATAAAACTCAATAAGAAATGTTTCAAACACCGTTACTTGTTATAATACAAATGTATCTTATAGCATCAGACTAGTTCAAAAACATGAATTTTATCCTTGGCATAAATACAAACTCAAATCTAATTTATATCCGGTGACAATAAGTGGACATACATACTTTATTAGGTGGAGTGAGTTAGAAATGGCTGAAGAATTACAGGACAAGCATATTAAAGTATCGCATCCTTACGATATGCATTGGTACGTACAAGTGTTTCATAATATTCAAGTACTGAATAGTTTCGTCCAACCACATAACTTATGATAGGAGAGCCTATTATATCTGGAAACTACGTTGAAAAGATATTCCCTGTGATCATTACCGAAATAATCAGTGAACGAGATCAGTCGGCGAAAAGCACGCTTGACTCTCATACTTCAACTACAATTTGAGACATTTTAACTAATAACGGTGATTAAGTACTGACGAATTCCCTTCCCTTACTTAATCCGTTTGCTCAAATCTTTCTTGATACGTGAGTGCTGCAGACTATATCAGTTTCACTTAGGCTATGGATTAGTAGTAGACACCACCATATAAGTCCGATTATTTTTCTTTGTGTTGCTTATCATTTCAACTAGCATTCTTGAGACTAAACCATCGATTTTTCCTCTTCCTATTCATATTAATTCCTGGCTATTCAATAAATTTTCTAACCAAAATTTGTAAGTTTCAGTTAATCGGTGGTAGGGGTCGATTTGACATGTGAATTAGCAATTGATGATACGTACAATTTTAATAATAATTTACTTATTAATCAATTACACTTTTCATAAGTTACAACGTAAATTTGCTTAGGTGTACACACACGAGTAGAAGCAGACATATCACACAATATCGGAAGCATATGATTAAAAGCTTACAACTAAAGCAGAAGTAAGACTTTAAAATGTCATTAAGTGTACCTTACATATCAAAGCACTTTGTTAAGGTTAGTGATCACTGGAATAATAGTGTTAACATACTTGAGCGAATTTTTCAGTAACAGATGACTTTGGAGGTTCTGCATGGCTACTCAATACCAACTGAAGAGCCTCAGACTCTTCACTGGCTGGATGCAAGTGGCGACTCCTTGTAGAACTGTGTATCATTTCAGGATTTTCGTCTTCATTGTGGCTTCTATACCAAGTAGCCGGTCTATGCTTTGATTTTTCAAGACGTTGAGGATTGCCTTGTCGACTTTCTGATAAATCCACCTTTGATTGCATCAATCCCCTAGGAGATACATCACTCTGATCCTTAGGTAGAAAGAGAGAAACTGGACGACACCCTTTTGACTGGACAGATACACATTCAGCATTGCAATCTTCAATAAACTGGGTTTTCTCATTTGTTGACAAAGTTTGGGGGCAAGCTAGTGTTTCTGTAGGACCAGAGTCTTTGTAAAATGAAAATGTAAACAAAAATAAATTGAAATTGTCTGGGTACTTTTTATTTGTAACTTGCATAATTCTCCCATTTCGCAAAATAGCGGTTTGCGTTAAGTCATTACTTTGAGTGAGACAAATGTTAGCTACAAGATGACTTTATAATAATCGAGTTTTTATTCCTCATATTTTGAAATCAATCTAGTATATAATTACTAACCGAATTGCGTGACTACTCCGGTTGGAATTTGTACAGAGTTCTGATTCCGTGGCCCAATATCACCACATAGCTAATGATTTCACACTATTTAAATGCAGTATGGTGAAAGTGTTTTGGTCACTTTATTATTATTACAGAAATTACAGAAGATATGCTCGTCTCTTTTACAAACACGTTGGACGATACCAAACTTGAAAGTAATAGTAGACGAGTCTATTTGTTTTTACTGTTTTCTCCAATTACTGTGGCATTTTGTTAATGGTGTTTTTGTAGTCGCCACCATCGTCTTTAAGGTACACTCAGCTGAAAACTACCAACATTACCAAATAATATTATGTTCGTTGCTTCCACTAATAATTATATCAGGTTATATTAAATACCGTTCATAAATGCCTACTGAAGTTAGGAAACCCTATAATATCGAGAAGAAAAAATGAAGCTTTGCGTACTAATTAGCCTGGGAACAAGTATGTAATTCAAGTGACTCGCTAATCTTCTTCCTCGTGAAAATTTGAATCCAAATCGGAGGTACATCAGAATAAAGGTCGTCCATGTTTCTGCAAGTAATTAGGAAGATATTCAAGTCACTTATTTCAGCCACCTACACCGATACGGGTACTTGCATGTTTAATTTACATTATATGGTCTATACTGGCTAAGTATTGACAGAGAGTTATGAACCAAGGTCTGGTGGTCAGCATAATAAAAACTCATTGTCAGGGTAATTTTAACTACACATTCACTCTCTATATCTTTGTACAAAAAAGTTATTTTGTAACATAAGGAATGCGAATTATTCCGCGGTGTACAATACTCATACGGTTTTAAAAGTCTGAAAAGGCTTACCTCCAGCAATAGGATTTAGTTTTAAATCAGATGTATCACTTCTTCTATCTTTAAAGTGTCTTCTGAAATCCATAACAGGTTTAGACGACTCTGAAAATGTAAGTACAATAATTACGAGTACTTGGAGCATTTGAACGACTGCCAGTCTTCGGCATATGATTAGGACTTCTGTTTACGCGGAACGACTTAAGCTGCCACCTTGTGTATAGACTCGGCCCTTAATAAAACAGTCAGGTCAGTTTAGCACACTACTTTTGTTAATATGAGATGTCTGCGCATCACTGACTTCCTCTCTGAAGAAAAGCAAATATAGGGGTAATCCACCATTTTCATCGCGAACAGGCGTTACGACAATGCGGAAAGATATGACACAATCTAAAAGTAGCCAAATAAAGGAAATGAACCTACTGTCTCTGGAATACAGGTTCATGCATATTTCTGTCTCATTAGGTTGATTAAGAGAAGCCAGAAGTGCTTCCATAGATCCAGGAGTGGTTTCAGGACCGTAAAACACAGACAAGGCGGAAGACTTGAACATAAGTTGGCCTTTTGTGTATCGAAGAAGATCACAGAGCCCATCACTACAGTATATAATTGGTCTGGATGGCAAAGAGGCGTTTGCTACGATGAAGTTTTCATCTTTAGGGTGGATAAGAAAAATAAAGTGAACTTACATTGCGAATCAAAGTTCCTGATAAGAGTGACGATGTAAGTGTTGTGTGGTGCAATGTGACCTCTTTTAATCGGCATAGTTGCAAACCAATAAAGGTTTGAAACTACGACTTGAGGCTCTCAACCCAAGCGTGTTCCCCTCCAATTCAGAATAGGCGCTCCATCTACAACCTTCAGAATTGCAGTGACATAAGCATTCTAAATTGACTTGAAGAAAGAATAATGTTTATATACACTGAAGCTGTTTTTCACTTTCAGATAGAAATTTTCCGATGCATAACTGCTTTTCATGCCTCTTCTATCTCATCATAGGAAATTCCGATATTTATGTTAATAATCAAAAAGCCCTACAAAACTGGGTTGCTTACTAATTCCATAGTCATCCATCTGAATCCATGAAACTTACATTTTAATGTTTCATGAGTAACTAGCAATCGTCTATTAGTATTTTGAAAAGAGGTGTAGATGTTGTTGAAGATTGAACGATCAATTCATGGTTGTTTGCTCAAACCCAACTTCCCCAATTTTCGCGGAGGCATCAATACACCAGTCATCGTCTCATCGGTCGCTGTTCAGAAAGAAGTCAGCAGAAAACCGTCAGAAACCCTAGTTGTAAGATTGTTTATATGTTGGTGTTACAATAAAGAATCATCGAGTCGCCAATTGGTGTTTTGGTTTTTGCGTCCGTTAGTACTAAGCGTTTCTGAGAAACTTCAGGGAACAGCGTGAGCCCGAGTGCAGCAAGAGCTGGGCATTAACGGTTTACGAGACTTGGCTGGCAGTTTCTGACGGTACAACGTCAGATTTTAAACGGTTTTGAACAGTTGTCACGACTTTGGATAGTCACCGTTCATCTTTCCTGGTGCCGGTCAAGTCCTCTTTGAACAAGCAATATCTGGAACATTTTTGGAATTTGCTCAAGTTCAACAATGCCTGGGTCAAAGAAGGGACAGAGTATCTTGGATGCAAACAGGAAAGAAAGTCATGTTGACTTGTCCGTTAATTATAACGATGTGTCTGATGTTAAGCATGACATGGTTGATGTTATTGTTTCGCCGTTCAGGGATAATAGGAATATCAAACTCCCTAAATTTGAACCACGGTGTTTCGATGGAAACCCGGCTGATTATTTACCATTTGTAAAGGAGTTTGAGATCTTGCTGAGTAGTTTTTTATTAAGTGATGAATTGAAATTGATGTATTTGACGAGGTATTGCACTGGAGATGCTGCAAGAGCTATACAGTGCTGTAAGTTTATGAAGCCAAAAGAGGGCTACGATGAGGCTATGAGCATATTACGTCAAAGGTTTGGAAGACCTTCGATGATTGCAGGGAAATTATTCGAGGCTGTTAAGGGTAATGGTGGTCAATTACAGGATGACTCCCAGGCACTCACTGAGTTTTTAGATAATTTGCTAATTTACAAGAATGGAATGATTTCGATGAATCACATGAGTGATCTCAACTCGAGTTTTATACTAGAAGTAATAGCAAGACGCCTACCTACTCAACTGCAAAGGAAGTGGGTGAAGATAAGCTCTCGTATGGAGGATGAGGGTATCGAGCCAAAATTTGATGATATCCTGAAACTGGTAAACGATAGTGTCAATCAGTCTATGAGCAAGTTTGCCAGTCTATTGCATCTCACCCCTAGAATAGAGCAGTCTGAGAGCAAAATGCAATCGTTGATGACGAAAGGGCCTCAGAGCGGTGGATATCGAGAAGGCTTCATGATGTCTAGTAATGCATATAAACCTAATGAGTGTAACAGGTTTCGTAGTACATCCTCAACAGATGAGTTACAAGATGCAAGACAAGCACGGTTGTGTTTTACACGTTTGCGAGAGGTGCATACAAAGGTGAACTGTGAACCAGTGAGTGAGTTCAGTGATAAGCTCAATGTAAACTCCAGGTCTGACTCTGAGTTGTGTGACGATGACGGTGTGGTCAAGAAGTCTGTAGTTGCAACTGGTAAGCCATTGTTGAATGGTATGCCAAAGAAGAGAGTTAGAGTGTCAGAGTCCAGTTCTAACCCCATAAGCTAACAAGGTATTACTAGTCAGAGTGAAGGTATAAAATCTTTAGGGATTTGTGAGGAAGAACCCAAATCATCTACTGCTGTTATTAAAGAGTTTGAAAATGATGAAGTCGACCAGATAGATGATGGTAAATTGAATATTCGTGATAATGATCATGATACTTCACAGTTGTCTTTGGTTGATCATTATGAGATGAGGGATATGCCTACTACTGCTAAGTTAAATAAAGGTTCTGTACAACTACAACGTGAAGTAGAATTGAACGCAGATGCAGTTCCAAAAGGTGTGCATACTTGTGAGACCGTCAGTGTGATTGATCAGCGTGTAGCCCACCTATCATCAGATGATAGTGCCAAACCCGAACTAGTAGTGAAAGACAGCAGTGGTGGTAATCTTGCAGTCAGACAACTATCTTAAAGCCGAACAACAACAGCTTCTGATCCACCGCTAAGTTCATCAACTGGTATCAATCAGTCGTCGTTGGTGTTGTCATCCACAATGAGAAGGACGCTCATTAACTCCGGTATCTTGTGCAATGACTATGATAGTATTGGTGCATTTGAAAAGACGAAAGATATTGCTCGCTTTAGAGAGGATAAGTCAAGTGTAAACAAAAGAGTAATTGTTAAATTGACTTGCATGAATAAAAGCATTTCTAGTTTGGAGTTACTATTTAAATGTTATTCTCTTTGGTGTAAATTACTCTGTTTCTACGCTTGGTTGACAAGATACGTCGTGTCTTTGTTCGTCATCTATATTCTACGATACAATAATATGGGCGTGATACCGTTCAGACTTGAGAATATAGCGGATAGAAGGAAATCAGCAAATGAACTCTGCGACGATGCCAGCCATAGAGGTGGGCTATGGGAAAGACTTATAGGAATTATCAAGCGTATTTTAAGCTCCATAATTAAAAACCAGAGTTTGAATGACGAAACGCTGGAGACATTTTTTTGTGAAGCTGAACGAATATTAAATGACCGGCCGCTATCACCTGTGAGGGACGACGTCAAGGATTTTGATGTGTTAACCCCAAATAAATTATTGTTATTGAGAGGCAACCCTGGCATAGAGGACTCAAGCGGGGAAGGAATACCTACGATTAAAAGATGGAAACAAGCCAGGCACATGAAAGATATATTTTGGAAAAGATGGCTAAAGGAGTATGTTCTAACACTGCAAACCAGAGACAAGTGGAAAAAGTTGTGCCGAAACTTACAGGTTGGTGACATAGTATTAGTAGCAGATAAATGTGTCACAGGTAGATAGCCTTTGGGAGTGGTAGATAGGCTACTCTGTAGTGGTGACGGATTGGTGAGGACGGTTGAGGTGAGAACAAGTTGTGGTATGTTGGTGCGAGATATTAGGAAACTGTGTCTGCTGGAAGGTGCTGAGATTCGAGAGTCGGAGGATGAACCACTTGACGATTTTAATAATAATAATAATAATGATTTACTTTATTCCAAAAACAGTACTTGTGATACAGATTGGAATTTTCAGCATTAATCACAATATTGCATCTAATTTCCTCAAATTATAAATAAAAATTAATCACACAGAAAAATTTCCACATTTACAATAGAGGTAGTGTCAAAAACATGCAGCATATAAAATGGAAATAGCAATAATAATGATAACAGCTAGGGTAGTAATAATAATAATAATACAAGTGAAAATTGCCGTTGGCTTGTGTCACACAGTATTGGCAATGTGGTATAGAAATCCTAACATGTTTAAAAATATTGAATATAATGTTCTTTCTACATGATATGGTGAAGGAAAAAAACATAGATTACAGCCGTCATGGAGATAAGTTGGTGTTTGCAATTATGAGAGTAAAACAGAGAATTAACAGGACCATAAATATAATAGAAGTAATAAAAGTAAAACTTGAAGGTATGTAAGGATGGATGGAGGAAATTGTTTATTTACTAGATGAAAAAAGGTTAGTTAATTCTTGCCTGACACTATTTTCATCACATAAAATACGTGCCAAGTATGGTATCATAGAATTCTTATACTTAGACGTGCGAGCATACAGTTTTCTGAAGTTACTCCTTGTTCTACCTGAGGAGATGCAAGGTGAAAGGAAGCTGAGGGTAAAGCGGATGCTCCAAGTCAGACAAAATCCCTTTAGCAAATTTATTGCATGAAGTCAAGTAGGCCTATCGACAACGACGTTAACTATGTGGTCCACTGGGACACCACTCACTCTACTGACAGTCTTCAGTATTCTACGAATTGTGACATAGTCTTTTTTAAGCAAACCAGGAAAGAATAAGGGTGAGCAATAAAGAAGAATAGGTAGGATGCAAGAGTTTACGAACTGTAGGATGAGGGGTTGAGTTATACCCGAGTGTCTTAACTTCTTAATGTAAAATGTCAAGCGGAATATTTTACTGGAGATTGCTAAGACATGGGAAGACCAGGAGAGATCAGAAGAGAGAATGAGTCCAAGATACTTAATTTCTGATTTGATTCCAATATCATTGTCGACAATTTTACAAGTGTCATGAGAATCGATGACTTCTCTTAACTGTCGTTTACATCTTAAGCTGAAATCAACAGTTTGACACTTAGAATCTAGGGCGTCAACCTGAGAAGAGTTGTTGGCGTACTGTTGTAAGTCCTACAATTCTTCAAGGGGTAGTGCATCGGTGAGCAGCCCAATGTGCTTAGAGTGTTGTTTTGTACATATGATCATGTTGTATGTATCGATTTGTTATCATCTCTCACCTATCTGTTGATTAATTATATTTGTGTTCGAACCTTTCTCCTCTTGGATCATCAACCTGAGAAGGAGTGTAGACGTACTGCTGTAAGTCCTATAGTTCTTCAAGGGTAGGTCGTCGAGGCGGAATCCACAACAAGTGATGTATTGATTGTACATACATTTGTGTTAAAAAATTGAATGGGTTCCAATTCATCTAATTGTTGGTTTATTTATGGTTGTCGCATTGTGTGAATCATATTGTAATGTTATTTTAAGTACTTCTTAAGTCGTTTCTAGTCTTCTAAACTTGTGAACGAATCGAG